TGAAAGAAAGAATAATTAAATAAATATAGAAATAAATATCAACAAATAAACAAAACACACCTGATAAATAAATAAGCAATAAAAAAATAAATCAATATATAAATAAATAAATAAATACATAAATGAATACATAAATAAATAAATATATAAATAAATAAAAGCAAAAGTGAAATGTACAAATAATTAAATAGACATGAAAAAATATATATGAACAAATAACCAAACAAACAGACCCATAATATGAATAAATGAAAATAAATAAATGAAATAAATACACATACATAAATAATAAAAGCAAAACTAAATGAAAGAAAGAATAATTAAATAAATATAGAAATAAAATCAACAAATAAACAAAACACACCTGATAAATAAATAAGCAATAAAAAAATAAATCAATACATAAATAAATAAATAAATACATAAATAAATACATAAATAAATACATAAATAAATAAATAAATAAAAGCAAAAGTGAAATGTACAAATAATTAAATAGACATGCAAAAATATATATGAACAAATAACCAAACAAACAGACCCATAATATAAATAAATGAAAATAAATAAATTAAATAAATACACACGCAGAAATAATAAAAGCAAAACTAAATGAAAGAAAGAATAATTAAATAAATAAACAAAACACGTGATAAAAATAAACAAAAATAAATATGTACATACATAAATTATAAATAAATATAAGCAAACTAAACATAATTAAATAAATAGAAGAACAGATAATTAAATAAATAAAGATGAACAAATAAAGAAACAAACATACGCAATCACGTGACATAGCGCGATATAGTCCAGCCCACATGATAATTGATAACTGTGGACGTTATTTGTCGACACTTGACAACAGACAACATTAAAAAAAAACCCGTTACACGATACCATAACACCTTGACTAAAGTCTTCGGTGTAAAAAAAACCCGTTACACGATACCATAACACCTTGACTAAAGTCTTCGGTGTAAAAACTGAAAGTTACTTTAGCATTAGAAGCAAAATTAAGAGCGGAAACAAAGCCGACAATACTTGCGCAGATACCGGTCGAGCCGAAACAGCATTCATGAAGGAAACCTAAAAAACCTAATTCTATTCATGAAGAAAAAAATCTAAAAACTCAAAAAAATTAAAGACCCCCTGAAGATACACATATGCATTATGGAATTTTTACGCTCATCAAGCGACGCATTGCGAGGTCGTTAAGTTGATAAAACAGAGGCGAAGCTGGACTTCGCAAACACAAGCGAGGAAAATGCAAACAAGAGCTCTAAACAGGCAAAACCAAGTGAAAATTATGCATCTTGAAAAAAATTTGAGTAGAAAAGAGAACACTTTCTCACATCTGCTTCACGACCACTTGTAATTTTAGTAACAATATCCACCAATAAAGCAGCTACAGTTTCTATCAAAAATTAGACTTTTCTTAAAACCATGAAATTTTCTTTACTTAAGCAAGGGAATTGCCTCGGCTTTCCACACCTGATTTTTAGATTGAAAGGTCTTAAAATTTCAAAAATAATCTATGATTGGTGCTTTTTAGATAACACTTACACAATTTGAATGAAACTGGATCAATAGGTGATTTTCAAGTCCTGCTGGGAAAACTGATAATTAAATTCCACTTTTGAAACTAGAAGTCGATCACTATTTTCGTGACCTTCACACTTTCGCTGTTCGATAAGGGTGTTTGTCTTCTTTTAAACAAAAGAAATGAACTGAACTTAAAAAAAATCAAAAGTCAAACGGGAAAAATTAAAACCGAGCGAGAACAAATTTTAAGACTTTTTCCTAAAAACTGAAAAACTAACCAAAATCTATATAAGAGTATTCACTACGTTCATTACTCTCAAGAAAAATCAAAAAATTTTTTGGATAGAATGGGTATTTAAAATAAAGGCATGCTCTAAATATTTCTGTTGGTTGACGAACATTGTTATCTAACAAGCTGATTCAGTCATTCTGTTAGGCAAGTTGTTCACACAGGAAAAAGTCCATGTTCCAAATCGATAACGTTTGTTATTCGCCAGTGTAAAAGGGTCCAAAAAACGCGTTTTGACGCAATTTTAGATTTTTCTGACAACGATGGGTTCAAGTCATTTTTTGAGAGCTCGGGAAAACGATGAAGAACACGACAAATGGTTCTGTTTCAAATTTTTATTCATAAGTATAAGCAGGGGCGGACGCCCCCCCCCCTCAGGGATTCGACCCCCTGCCGACCCAAAGGGTCCCCCCTTTGATACATTTTCAGAAATCCAGTTTTGGCCGACCCTAAAATTTTTCTAAAGGCGCCAATATATACTAACTTTGAGGGGGAGCGCGCTCCAAAAAAAAACACGATTTTTTTGTCAAAATTTTTCAAAAAGTGCCCAAAAACGGTTTTTTTGACTGTTTTTTCAAAAATTTGCCTGCGGCGCAGAAATTTTTGCCAAAATAGGGGCAAAACGGTGCTTTGGGAGAGCTCGAAAAATCAATTTGGTCGACCTTAAAAAAAAAAGGTCGTCAAAATTTTGGAAATTTTTTGAAAATCCGCCCCCCCCCCCCTCGAGAAAATCCTAGATCCGCCCCTGAGTATAAGTACTACTGATGCTGTTAGTTTCTACCAATTCAGTACTAGTTGGTAGTCTTCGTACGTAGTCGAACTTCAAGAAAAAATATTACTCAAAAAAAATTCGAAACAACGCTGAAACCTCAGCGTTCTTTGAATATCGCAGATTCAATAATAACGATTCGGATATTTAAATTTTATCTTTTCGCATTCTCAAAAGCTTTCACAATGTTATCAAGTTTGTCAATTTTCTCCTTCTCTTTCATTTCATCTATTATTGAAGCATTCAGTTTTTCTCGCTCAAGAATTTCTTGGACGCCTTTAATCGTCAGCTGATGAGTAACATGGGCTTTCATATTGTGCTTGATTTGAAATTCCTTTAGAACTTTTATATACTGTTCATGATCGATAAACCTCAACTGAGTCAGAAAAAAGTCTCGTCGAGCTACTGATAATTGCAAGGGTGACCTGGTAAATTTTATTCGCACTTTCTTTCCTGTTTCGTAAAAATATCTCAACCGATCCTGTGTTTTTTGGATATTAAGTGTTTCTTTTGCTATCTTGAACACTAAATCAAACTTATCCACTTTCTTAATATCAACTCCAACCAACTCTAGCATCGCCTTCAGTTCGCTATAATTCCTGACAAATGGTTTCGCAAATTCGACAGATAGAACTTTCTTCAAAATGTCCGCATGTGGGTGGTCTTTAACTGCTTCTTCGTTAATGTAAGGTACCAGTGATTTTTTCAGTTCATTTAGCCGAATTCCTCCCGTCTCACGTGACATCAAATCGGGGTTGATCACGTACTTGTAAGGTCGCAATGGTTCAGGAGCTCTTCTCCACAGAGCGTGAGAAAATCTCAACGTCTGTAAGCCATGATTCCCAGAAGCAAGCAAACGGCGAATAAGCGACTGGTTTATTGAAGTCATGATAAACTGGAAGAAAGTTTAAATTATTACGATTAGATCTCTATGTTTCAACTTCCACTAATACTCTACGTTCTGCTTTTTTAATATTTTCAAAACTTAAGCAGTAGTTTCGTTTTTTTAACGCTCGCATTCAAATTTTAGAAGTTTTTCTTTTCTAAATTTTAGAATTCGTAAGAAAAAATTCTTTATTTAACGTTTTTTGTACTTCAAAGCTTTTAGGGTTGATACTTTTATCGCTAAATCAAACCCAACTTGAGTAGACTGAACCAATGGGAATTATTGAAATCCTCTGAGAATTCTCAAATTTAAGACCTAGCTAGTTTATGGAATAATCAGGAACATAAATCTACCTAAGCACTGACTCTCAGTTTTCTAAGTGAGAACTTTTTCTGAACTATTTATTTCATGTAATCGAACATATCAAAAATAAAATCAAAAATCGAGGCTAAATTTGGAAACTATTCAATTTAAATAATGGTAGATTTAACTGACCAGAAAAACTTTAAGAAGTTTGAATATATTCAATAGTAAAAAAAAACAGCTCCTTTAAGGCAACGATGACAAAATTAGCGTCTTTGAAAGCGCATTTCATCTCGTCAGGATATCTCAAGCTACGAGTGAGATTTAAGGATTGCGATGATGATGATTTTGACCTTTGAAAAAAATTCATAATGCTGAAGTGACTGCATACTGCATTGGTTGAGTACATAAGGAAGAAGAGGAATGTAGAAGTATACAAGATCGAAGCTAGAAAATGTGCAATCTAATCAAGCCAGCAGGACAATCAAACAAATATAATTCAGTCATTTATTTTTACGTTGCGTCTTGATGAATAAAATTACAAGATCAACTAGTATTTAAGTTAGGTTGCTTCAAAGTTATTTCATCAATTTCGTTAAGATTTCTGAGATTTTTCTGAGTTCTTATAAAGACTCTTGACCAAACATCATGTTTTCTTAGGGAAATTTCGAAGAGTAACCTAGTTCTATTTAAGAAAGTAGTATATGTTGCCGCTAATTTCAGATTCTAAGTAGCACCTCCTATTCGAATTTTTGTCTGTTTTCAGAGAACTTAATTGACAGCTTTTGCGAGAGGCGGAAACTCGTTACTAAGCTCATTTTCATAACAGCATACCGCCCAATTAGTTCATTATAGGGGGTGGATACTCGCCTTCTACGAGCCTAATGGTGGTGGGGTTTCAACCCGCCCAAAAGGTTGATAAATAAAAAGAAATGAGTGTTCCGACTTTCGATACGAAAGTAACGGAATATTTGTGCTCGGGTGGGTTTTTTTTCTTCAGACAAATTTCGACTTTTTAACTAGACATTTTTGACGGAATTTTTTTATATCATTCGAAAGCTATTGTTATCCTGAGCTTAAATTTGAAATAATCTTTTACCTGTGATCATTTTTTGTAAAGTTATGGGGGTTTAAATATTGCCATTTTGGTCAATTTGTGACAATTAACGCGCGATATATTTCGCGCTAAATAACGCGTAAGCGAGATTTAATCCGTCTTATAAATCGTTCCAAATTGGTTCAAGGAAGCTTATATGCCATAATTGATTTGTTAATAGGAGCAAAAACTATCACTTTGTACTTAATATGGCGTGTGGGGGATGTTTTCACAAAAAAATCTAACTTTTTTTAAGTTTCAATTTTAGTTTATTACATTTAAATTTTTCATGTATGCTGCTCCATTGACCTTAAAAGGCAGTCGGAACATTCAGGGCATCGCCCTGATACGAGCAGTCTTCTTCTATCTTTTGCAATTACTCGTGACTTAACAATTATTCGTCATCCATTTTAAAACAGAGATTGAGGGATATCGTGAAGTAGCATCGAACTGCATTATAACAAACAAGTTAATGCAACAACTTTCAAGTAGAAAGATAATCTCTCGCAGCAGAAGCGCCAAATGACAGAAATTTGTAATTAGCGACCCAAATTCAGTTTTCAACAATCTTATACAAAGCCCTACGACTATTCACAAATTCGAGATAATTTCAGCTGAAAAAAAAATAGTTTCTGTCATTTGGATCTTATGCCATAAAAACAGCCTCTAATAGCGACCAGAGTAGAGCAGATAGATGATGTAACAGGAATGTTTAGATTGAGCATTGGAATCGGTGAGCCTAGTCGTCATCGTCATCAGAGGATGAGTCAGTGTCGTACTGTATGGCCACTTCTGCTGACGCCGGAATCACATTTCTCATATCCATCTGCTTCTGTGCTAAAACAATAAGAACACACAACATCTTTTCAAAGACTCTCAACTGAATTGCAGGGAAACATATCAAAAAAAAGCTATAAAGTCACCACAACCATGACTTAAGCTGTAGACGTTCTATGTTATCAGCAAAGAGGCGAAATTTCACTTCGCAGAAACAAGCAATCAATACACCGAAACGAGCAGTATACATTCAAAAAGACATGAGAAAAAGTCGAACTTGAAGCAGCGAGGATTGAACCTCCTAGCAGCGGCGACAGCAGCGCGTCGATCCCCTCATCGCTCGAAGGGTCGCACATTGGTACTATTGTTTGACATCCCTGTTTAGATCCCTGGGTTTTGATGCGTTCCATGAAAAAACAACTTTCAGAAAATATTTTCATTTTTCTAAGTTATGAAGTTTTTCATTTACCAAATGGCGCTAGAAACTCCAAAAACGAACTATATTCTAACAAAACTTTCATTTCAAACGGTTTTTTCTCGACACTGAGCAAATTTATATGAAAAATTTTAAATGTCGTCTGAATCACGACTGACAGGACTTCAATATGATATATCATAAGACCCATTCCAATGGTTTGTTGTGGTACCTGATTTTTTGTGGAAAACAAAAATAAAACACCTCCGGATACAAATTTTAATTTGCGACTTGTACTGGAAAAAGTGGATATCGTAATATGACACTACGCTCCGCATGTGTGAACTAATGTTGTTCCAAATAAATCATTTCATTCAGTGCAGGATTCTGGAAAATGAGCATAAGGATTACGTGAAAAATTATCTTCGGATGCAGCCCACCACATGCAAACCAAATGCTTGAGAAAAACGAGCAAAACACTAATGAAAAATACAGGGAAGAAAATACCTTATAAGTGCGGATCTGAAATATAACAATTGACATCACGATTTAGATCACCATATTTTGCATCAGAAAATACGGTACAAGTTCAAAAATATGCAATACCATTAAGCATATCATTAACTTGCGCTTCAATAGGAGATAATGCTTACAATGACATAGTTCAGTCATGAATAGGTGTCGTGTAATTAATTAGCTCATTTATAAGCAAAATTTTTTGTTTCTCGTTCATTTTTCAATGTGATTTTGAGTATAAATTGAAATAGCATACCCTTCTGTTGTGCAGCTAACTGTGCTCTCTCTTCGTCTGATACTGTCTTGGGTAAAGGCACCATTTGGGAAGGCGATTGGAAAGATGATTTCCCTTCTAAAAACAAAGAGAGTTTACTAAGAAGAACAAAGGTACAATCGTATCAGCCGTATTTTGCTCTCGTTAATAACTTCATCTAAGGGCTAAGTCTCTGAGTACTTATCTTTTTGACCTATTCAGTCTGCCTTCATTCACACGTCTGCACCCAGAGAGCTTGGTTTCGCATGGGAAAAATAAATATGAACTATTACTCGACTATTGCAAGAACTCATTGCATTCATAATTAACGGTGGTTCCCAAACATTACGCAGTAGTGTCATGTTGTATGTCAAGGAGTTAGATTTTATTTTGGACATCTTTTATAGGGTAACGTCTTTGCGTATAACGCAAATCTATCTGAAGCTTGACTCACTGGCAATGTCTAGGCACATGAAGCACACCTTTTCCTTCTTCTTCTTAGCTTTGTCCTCCTGATATCTTTGACAGTCTCCACACATCAGAGTCCCACACTTTCGACAATGATGCTGAAACACGATACAACATGCAGGCACTATCTTAAATGCTCTAAACTGGAAATGTCAATTCAAGAACCGCTTCTGTCTATGATTTCATTTTTCAGAAAGTTCATATTGAAAAGTTTCAGCGAAGTCTAGAAATCAACCGTGGAAAACTCTCCCTAATGGACTTACAAAAACTTTAAATAACTACAATATCATAAAATGTTATGCATTAGGTGTGAACTTGACTTACTCGTCTGTTGATGGCTGTGAACTTGGTCTTGTTGCACACAGGACAGACGGAGCAGTTTTGATCAGGGGTCCACACAGGAGCCGACGAAGTCATCTTCTTCGGTTTTACCATATCTGAAACAAATCGAACAATCCTCAGACCCAATAGCGGAAACCGGACAATCTTATTGCTCAAACTTCACAAGGGCATTTTAATCAATTGTTTAACCATTCAACGAACTTTGAGACGTGCAAAACTTGCCACGTATAGTAGAAATTGAAATCCTACTTTCTTACCTATAGAATTCTACTACAAGTCATTTTTACACGAATCCAATGATATTTCTTGATTGTACACACAGTTCATGTTGGAGTGTTGTATGGCACTGCGGATGTAGTCCAGCCAAGCCATCTGCTCATCGGGACTCTCCATCACCACTATGAAACTCTTTTCTGCAGTTTGGATCTTGAGACAGTGTTCGTCTGCAACATACTTGAAGTCATAACTCAACCAATCACATTCAATATTTTTCATAATGACTAACATTACTACCACGCCAACGTCTTAAATATATCCCAATTCAATACGAATCTGAAGCTATTTGTAGGAAATGATTACTCATTGCACAAACTATGCTTTTTTCCTACAAATGTCTTCAAATTCGTGAAGACTTCAAATTATATATTTTTAAAAATCAATGAGAACTTGAAATGCATTTTGAGCGTTGGGACGGAACCAGTGAGATCCATTTAAAAAAAATAATTTAAATTAATTTAAGCTTTCATTTAAATTTCAATTTATTTAAATGTGAAATTATGTGCCCACTCAACTTGAATGAAAAATTTAAATATAAATCGAGCAATTTAAATTGAAAAAAAAAAATTGCTCCGGCGATATTCGATCCGACGCCAAAGTACAGAGTTTACTCATTATAATTAATTTCACAGTTCCGCGAAAGAAGCAAGCAATCTAAATTTTCACGAAAAATTTGATGAATTTTTCTAGCAAATAGATATGCCCAAAAAATTGCTTTGGAATTCGTTTCACAAAATTGCGAAAAGTCACCAAAACTGGCAGAAAAACTGCTAAAAACAGACTGAAAAAAAAATTTCTAAAGGAAAATTTACATAGTTTCGGAAAAATTTAAATTGATGCCAACAATTTTTATAATTTTCTTAAACAATTTTAATTTAAATTTCTATTTTTATTTTTTTAAATGGACATCACTGGACGGAATTGCTCGTATCATCAACGAGTCTACAATTTTTTTTCATAAAACATGCGCAGAAGAAACCATTTCTTCTTCATTCAATTTTCATTTCCTTTATCAAATTTTATTTCTAAAATTCCAGAGGATTTTCCAATTGCACGTGCAGACGATACTTGAATGATTCTTGACTTTTTGTTCCGACCAATGAAAATGGGAAAGAACTTTGTATTCGGTTTTTTTTTCCTAGTTTTTCAACTTTTTTGTTTTCCACGGAAACTCAGGTACCACAAATAATCATTGGACAGGGTCGGAATCATATAAAAGCCGGCAATCAAAAAGTTCACACTTTTTCTCAGCGTGGAGAAAAGCCGATTTAAAGTTTTTGAATTTTAGTCTAATTTCAAGCTAATAAAGCGAGCGAGCAGGATTATTTTGCTCATTTTAAGCCGCTTACAATAGCTTATTTATGCCAATTTTATAGTTAGATGTACTCAACTTTCTGGAGTTTTTTAACGCCATTTTAGGATAAATAATTCAAAAAATTTGAAAAATTATTTAACATTTTATTTTTTTCTTTTTCTAAAAAAACTGTAGTCCAATTTGCTTATTTTAATATTATTGTCGAATATGCCTAAGCTCTAGTTTTTTGTTCAGATCCTTTTATCACGCAGAAAAAACGACACTAATTTAAGAAAACTTTTTTATTGCATTTTTTAAAGACTATGATCGGAACATTCTGAGCTACTTGCACAGTTACCAGCTATCCTTTTTTATGTGACAATGAGTGCTGAATGGTGACTCACAGCTCATGTCTCCCACTTGGAAGTTGGAGCACTCCTCCACGTCCATACCACACGTGTTCATCACTTTCGTCTTCAGCAGCTAAAACAACAATAAACTTTACAAGTTTTAAGTTCAAAAAAGCAGTCAGTGAAAAATAAAGTTTGCATACAGCCAGACTAAGTTTTAAACAACAGCTGAAGAAGATTCCAAAAATAAAAGTTTGCCTGTCCAAGGGAACCTTTACATCTTTTCACAATATCATTGAACAGACCCTTTTAAAGTTTTTGTAGTTTGATGCCAACAAAATAATTATTTCAACGAAATTATAGAGTACTGGACTTTATATGTATTCAAACAGTAGAAGAACAACTACAATCTTCCAAATTTTAAGTCGCTGTACCATCTATGTTCTCCCAAAATTGGCAGAATACATTGATTTGCAATGCTCACTGCTGAGCCGAAAAATGCGGGAAAAGACTGACCGGTCTGCGCATGTTCCTATCCTGAGGTGGGAAATTGCAATAGATGAGCTGGTGTGAGAAGAGGACAAAGTATCTCTCCTTTGGCACTTTCCTGCAGATCTTCTTCAAATTCCCCTCCCCTATCAGACAAAACTCCTTCGTCCGAAGTCCGCTCGGCGGCGTCTATATGACAAAAAAACTTGGTGTTCAAAAGTGCCTTTAAACTTTGTAACGAACAATCCATGCGCGACTCATTACTGATTTGAAAAAAAAAATTAGTTTTTTTAACAACTCAAATGAAATGATTTAGTTATCTATATTTTCGGGAGTAAAAGGCAATTTGGTGATTTTCAATTTTGTGACACGTAAAAGCCATTTGAGACTTACCCTAATCTTTTGAAAATTACAAACGTTTCCATTTTACCAAAGCAAAGGGTCATTAAACGCTTACGATTGAAAAGCCCAGATGTTCCTCGATCGTCCGTATTCTTGACCTGTTACCCTCATCCCGATCTAGATAAGTCAACAAAAAAACTAGATTAACCTTTTAGATTCTGTTTTTGAATACTGTCTAAAATGAACTTATTTTGAACATGGATGTAGCAGTCCGTTAATTCCAAATACATTGATTGTTCCGAGGCAAAGTTCATTATTCTCGTTAACTTTTTTTTGTTTCTACATGCCAATTGAATGTAATTCAGGCAAACAAACTACTTACAGAGAGGTTTGAAGGATTTGTCAATCTGCTCAAAATCCTCCACCGAAGTACCCATAAACTTATCTACAAACGACAAAGTCGAAATAAAATTTATCGTTTTCTTTTGCTGGTCTACACTCATGACTACGCTACGCTATAGTTACACGGTATGGCGACAAATCATAAAAGGATCGCAATTTGTTTTAAAATTTAACCAGGGATAATTTTTCGGTAATTCCGTCAATCACTCCATATAGAATCCCATATCTGCTAAGGCATGGCCATTTGGTTGTTGTGCATCACCAAGTCAATCTATTTTAAATTAGATTACTAAGTACTATGGTAAATTCTCTGCAACGAGTAGCAGCTTTTTTGAAACGCAAGCAAATTGTTGCTTACGAATTGTCATCTCACGGGTTAAGGAACGCCAAACTCATCTGCACCCAATTTATCAACTTACTAAATTTTCTGAACTGTCCTTTTTTCAACCGTTTTGGAAATTAAAATCACTTTTTCAGCATCATCTTGATTCCTGTAGAAAAAAATATCAGGTTTATGTTCCAACCATTGAAAATGGGCGAAAACTTTGTCTTCAGGTGTGTTTTATTTTTTTTTCATATATCACGCAAAATCAGGTACCAAAAACAATCATCGGAATGGGTCAGTGATATCATATTAAAGCCCTTTCAGGCGTGATTCGAAATTTGAAAAATTTTCAAGTCTTCCCAGTGTAAAAAAAACGGTTTGGAAATTCTGCAATTTAGTCGTTTTTCGAGCGATCAGGTCTAACTATACGCTTATTATAATCTAAACTGAACCAGTTACATTTGTTTCATTGTTCCGACCATTAAAAAAGGGGAAGAGCTTTGTATTCGGGTGTAAAGTTTTTTTTTCCTTTTTTTCCATCTTTTTGTTTTCCACATAAAATCAGGTAACACAAATAATCATCGGACTGTGTCGTTTGATATATGGCATATATAGCCATTTTAGTCGTGATTCGAACGACATTCAAAACCTTCCAAAAAAAATCTCCAGAATTGAGAAAAAAACCGGTTTGAAACTTTGATTTTTCCTCTAATTTCGAACAAGTGAGCATGCCTATATTAGCTTGTATTTGCTTACTGTAAGCCTTGAAAATTTAATTTTACTCAAATAAAGTTAGTTTTCAGTGCCATCTTAGGAATCATAAAATTTTTGTGAAAATTTTTTACGATTTTTTTGACATTTTTCTACAAAAACTGTTTTTACAATTGGTTTTTTTATTATCTCCACATCTCGAATAAAAATGACAATACTTGAAAACCAATGAAAATAAATTGTTTCAAGTTTTTATTATTGTGTCCAAAACATTCGGTGCTATTTGCACAGCAATCAGCTAGTATAATGGTATGAACAGAAAATCGATAAACGCAAAAGCAAAAAATTCAAATATAATAAAAAATAAAACAATTGATTTATTTAAAAAATTTGCATTATTTCCTTAAAGTTCTTATAAAAATAACGGTATAAAAACTCTCAGAGGGGCTCAGCGGAGCTTCGCACCACTTGCGAAACAAAACAAACATACAAAACATAAGAAATCGAACAAAATGAAAATAGCTGGAAAAAACTAGTTAATAAACCCAAATTTTCCAGTCTCGGTAAAAAGGACTTTGCCCAAAACTAAGTTGTTTCTCTACTTAGTTTGGAAGTTTCCAAAGGACATAACAATTTCCTTGCAAAATATTAAATATTCACTGCTTCTGCAGCAAAAATACTCGAAAACGGTTCATTCGATTGAACCCTTTGTCTCAGGTTAGTCTATAAGAAAAGTCAAAAAAAATTCTTAAAACGGATAATAGTTCAAAAAAGCGTTCGAAAACAATTTGTTTTTCTGGCTCAAATATGTCGTGGCCATTTATGCAGAGAAAAAACCCGAAACCGGGTTTCTCGATTGAACACTCAACCTTAAAATTGGAGGGGTAGTTTTCGAGAAAAGTCAAACAGTTTCCAGAAAACAGTCAACGGAATAAAAAATTTGATTTTTCCGAGAATCGTAGCTTTTTGTGTGAAAAAGAATTGTGCGTAGCCGCTTATGCAGTAAAGATTTACAAAACCTCTCATTTTGATCGAAGACAACATGTTCTATCCACTTGAACCCAATATCTCTGATTTATATTCTCCCACAGACTTTTTCGAAGGCTCTAGATAGTGGTCGTAAAAGGTGACTAGGGGATTATCCAGGAACACAGGGTAGTAAGCGATGTTTCCGAGGATTCCCGTTGTTTGATAAACGGCAAGGTAGTTTTTGAGAAAAAATATCAATTGTACAAAAAAAAGGAAAAAAAATTACAAAAACGAAAATCTAGGAGAACAAGCCAAGCAAGACATTTAAAATTAGAATTAGCACAGGAACAGAACTTACGTAGCGGAAATGAAGCCGACTATCTTAGAACAACTGAATTTGAAATTAGCACAGGAACAGAACTTACGAAGCGGAAACAAAGCCGATAATCTTTGAGCTGAAACCAGTTAAGTCGAAAAAATGAAAATCACTTGCAACTACCCCTGAACCTAAAAGAAAAACACTTGCAACTAGCATGATACTTGCTTACAGCACAAGAAAAACTTCTGATGCGGTACCTAAGCCAACAAAACTTGAGCAGACAAGCGGAAGTCTTACAACTTAATTTTTACCGTTGAAAATTTTAACATACTGAAAGAAAAAAAAGTTCCTCCGGGATTCGAAACCCAGAGCTTGGGGTGCAAAAGGGAACGCCTTACCTCCAGATCATGAGGGAATCAAGCAGGGTTGTTAACGTTCAATATTAAAGCTGGTGAAATTTCTTGTAAGAAAAGTTGTTTACGGGAAAAATTACAGTTCCCGACTTCAGGATACACGCTCTCCCAAGTGTAATTGATGGATTCTCCAGAAACCTTCTAAAATCACGCTCATTATAATGTCAATTTCACTTTCAGTATAGGATAACGCAATGGGCCTAAGAAACTCCGAAAGATGGAAGAGAGAAATCAATAGTAAAGCCAACAAAAAACGAACTTCATTTTTCTAGCGTAACCACAATACATTTATTCTCTAGCAAACTTTGAACATAGAGGCGAGCCTTCGCTTCGCAAACACTTGCCAGAACACGAAAAAAAGGAGCTCTAAAAAATGTAGTAATAAAAGCTAGAAATAATCCTCAAATTAGCAAAAATTCGTCTACCTTTGAGATTCGAGCCTGCGAACTAGAGATTAAGAGTCTCACACACTAAACAAGTGAGCCACGGAAGCTTAAATGGTACCATTAACCACTCACTCCATTGAGAAAATTGGATCAATAGGTAAAACTTTTATCCAGCTCGGAATTACACAGAGGCAAAGCTGATCTTCTCGCCACATGCGATACAACACTAAAATAGCATGGCAATTTAGCAGAAATAAATTGAGACGAAAGCCACTAAGCCAAAAAATTATTTGATAAAAAAAAACCGAAAACAAAAAAATCGGACGAATTGATTTCAACAAATAGGTCCAGAAGAATGATATTTAATTTGAACAGAGGCGAAGCGAAGCTTCGCAACACTTGCGATGCAACAAAACACATTGCGCTACAAAAAATTGAATGAAAAAAAAGGCAAGCCAAAAAATTATTCTAAAAAATATGTTGAAAAAAACTTCTTGAAAAAACCACTTGACAAAAGTTGAAATATTAAAGCTACGAAAACTTCATATTTGGATCGGATGAACTTCATAAACAGCTCTTAAAAAATGGAAATCATTTACCGAGTGGCAACAAAGGCGACAAACTTTGGATCAAAACCTGTTGAGTCGAAAATAAAAATGTTGTCATAAAAAATTTCAGAGTTTTTACGACCCATCCAAACTGAAACATATAATCCCAAACGGATATTGCCAACAAAATTACGCAAAATAAGTTGAGCAGGTCGATATACCATAAGCTGAAACTGTTTGAATACTTGAAAAAACGAAAAAAAAAATCAGATATGGTAAAATTACAAATTTGTAGAAACAATGGTTTAAATTGAAACAAAAACCATGCTTCAAAAAAGCCTATTAAAACCCTATCAGATAAAAAAATGGCGTTTAAAAAAGCGGTAAATGAACCGATAGAAACTAGGACAAAAACACGAAGCCGAAAAAAAATTGAGACATTTTTTTGAAAAGATAATTACAACCTGAAAAAACGACCCTTGAAAAAATAATTACAAGATGAAACCAGAAGATCCTCTAGAAGTGAAGATCCTCTACAAGAGGAGATCGTCATCTAAAAGTGTGGACAAAGTTGTTTTCGGGAAAAAAGTCTAGTACCCGCTTGCAATACCCTTGCTTATCTATACCTTGAAATACAACTGCCATAGTTAAAACAGCAGTCGGTCAAAATGTATCTAGCAGTACCAAATCGACAATACTTAGGTACTACTGTCGCAAAAATTAAGTTTTTGTATCAACCCACTATAAGCACACACTCGCTTAAAAATCTGTCAACAAACTCCAAATGACGCAAAAGAGACATCTATGCCAATATAACATCAGCCAAAACTATTCAAAAGTTTTAAAAAAATAACATAACAGGAGTAAATTTATCGCACCGAGTAGTGTAACAGAAACCAGTAATCCCAAAAAATTTAATTTGATTGTTCAAAATATTCAGCATGTCAGCAGAATAAAGTAGCAAACGTGCTGCTAGCATTGATTCAAGTGATTTGGTTCGAAAAGTTGTTAGCCTGAAAAGCCAAAATTAAGATTTGATAACGCCTCTTAATCGAAAACTTAAGAAATCCTAGTCGCAAGCTTAATCGCCTCCTAATCGCAATCGAAATTGAATTGAACTGAAAAATGCATACACAAATAGAGGCATTCAATCTATTAATATCTATTAATGCACTTCTGTAGTTATTACAGCAATTTAAGACTTTTCTGGCAAAAAAGGAAGAAATCAAAACCGATAAAAAAAGGACCTACCATATGTTTCCTCGTTGATTTCAATGACAGTCACCTACGTGTCTTATAAAATCGAAATGTATCTGTGCGTTGTTTGAAAAATGAAACTAGTCTGCCATTTGTTTCCATGCTTCGTTTGGTCAATCAAACACAAACAAAAAATAAAAAGTTGCTTTGGCGTGCATCGTTTCATAGTGTTTTCTACAATTGTTTTATACTAGGGAGCACAGCGTACATTGAATCTCGAAATTTGATCGCACCTCGACACTGCATGCCTCGATTTGTGTTACAAAAAATGTCAATGCACTATTCAGAATTTTTGTGACCTAACTCTTTATTTAATATAAATTTGTTTATTTAATATGAAAAGCTTTCGTTTTAAGCATTTTAGTTGCTTCAAACTCATACAAGTTGCAAAATGGTCAGTTCAAAAATCACTGTTCTGACTACTCATAAGATTCGGGAATTTTTTCCAAGATATCGAAGGTATCAGTTTAAAATTCAGTTGAAACATGAGTCGCATTCTAAGAAACACGAAAAAAATTATCGTATAATAAAACTGCTTTTAGCAATTACGTTAATCGAAATGATTGGCCTTATCATCAGCCGGTATCGAAGAGTTGTATCATTTTTATATCCTTTCAATGGCGATTCGGATTCTAAAAAACAATTAAACACTTTTAGACCAGAAGACTGGTTTGATCTATCTGCTATCCAGAAACAAGTTTAGACAGAGCTATCGAAATTCTTCTATAAGCTGATAAAAATTGAGTTCAAAAAGCATTTTTATTCTTCTTTCACAATTTCATTTTAGTGAAAAATGGGTTAAACATTTTCCTTTTTGACTTGAATTGCGCACAATACGGACTACATGTTAACATCAAAAAGGGCAAACTAAATTTAAAAATTGATTTGTCAGTCAATTCAGAGAAAAAATTATTTTATTGTAAGACTCTGGTTTAACTTTATTGTAAACTGGCCAAACTTCAACGCAAAGTCGAGGTCCAATTCGCCGACACAAAGTAAAATATAGCTAACAGGCAGATAAAAAACCGTTAATGCACTTCAAAAAAACAGAAAAACATTAACTGATTTATTCCCTTAACCATTTTCAACAAAAACAATAAGTGAATTCAACTCTTTGAACTCCACGCTGTGAATAAAGCACACCTAAATCTAGAGACCTCAATCATTCAAAATTTTACACAGCAGCGAAGATGAGCTTCGAACCACTTGCGATATAAAAATGAACTAGAATGTAACGCACCTCTGGTGCTTCGAATTTTCAACAACTCAAAAAACTATTCTTTAAGTGTACTCTGACAGCACCCAATTACAGGGTTCGTAATTACAAATTTTGCAAAGTTTTTTATTCAAGTTTTCTATACAAATTTTGAAGAACCATAAAACTTTATGAAGTTTTATATAAATTCTTCGAAAAATTTAAAATGAACTAAGAAACGTCACATTTGGGAAACTGAAAACAATTGAGCAGTCGCATTTGGACGCAAGATTTGCAACTACTGAGAGTAACTTCAAATTTTGTAAAGTTTTTCATTCGTTTTTTTAATTCAAATTTTGAAAAACCATTAAAAATTGTAACATTTTTTTATATCTAAATTTATGATGAATTAAGAAAGGTCACATCTGGGAAACTGAAAGCAATTGAGCAGTCGCATTTGCACGCAAGACTTGCAACCCCTGAGAATACTCTTACAGTACCCAACTACTTACAGTACCCAACGTTGGGAAATTCAAATTTTGAGAAACTTCACCTTAAGTTTTCTAAAAAAGGTATTTTTTGAAAATCAGGAAAAAATTCACATCTCGAAAACTACCAAAAACTGAGCAGTCTTTTGTGATGGCAATATTCGCAATCTTTGAAAGTACACAACTACAGAGTTGGGAATTTCACTTTAACGAATTATTTTGCAATTTAATTTTTCCGAAAATTTCCAAAAAATCACATATATTTTATTATCTCTTAAAAAAAAGGTTTGGGCATTCTTAATTGCTTAATTGGAGGCTGAACTTGCAAACCCGGAGATTACTCTGACAGCCCCCCCCCCCCCCCCCCCCCCCCCAACTACGGGTTAGGAAATTCAAACTTAAAAAAAAAAAACTAATTTAATTTTCATGAAAATTTATTTGAAAAAATCAAAAAAAAACCGTCATATCTGGAAAACTGCAAGGTTTTGAGCAGTCCTATTTGAAGGCAAAATTCGCAACTTCTGCAAGTACACCGACAAAGCCTCACCACAGAGGATAAATTCAAGATTAAATTTGAAGTGAAATTTTTTAAAACTAAGTTTCCTGAAACTTTGAAAAAAAAATTCTAAAAAACGTCATATCTCGAAAAATAAGAATTTGAGCAGCCATATTCAGAGGCAAAATTCGCAACCCCCTGAGAGAAACTTGACAGAGCTTCACTACAGAGATAGTAGTTTCAAGTTTTGTGAAATTTTTTTATCTTAGTTTTCCGAAAAATTTTGTAAAAATTCCAAAAAACGTCATATTGAAAAATACAATCATTTGAGAAGCCATAATCAGAGGCAAGATTCGCAGTCCCTGAGAGTACCCTCATAATATCCAACAACAGGGTTGAGATCTTCAACGTTTTGGGGAATTTTTTAAAATCTAAGTTTTTGGAAAATTTTTGAAAAAAATAATAAAAAACGTCATATCTCAAAACTACAAGAATTTGAGAAATGAAAATTGGAGGCTAGATTCGCTCGCTACCCCTGAGAGTACCTTAACAGCACCCAACTACAGGGTGAGAATTTCAAAAATTGAGAAAATTGCCTATCTCGTCACTAAAAGGTTTTGGTTATTCATATATGGAGGCCAGAATTGCAAAACCTGGGAAAACTCTGACAATATCCTACGATTGGGTTGCTAATTTCAAACTTGATAAATTAAAAACGTAATTTAAACTGGAATATCGAAAAAGAAACTTAACCATTGCAATATACGATATAGCTTAAACGTGAAAAAATTCTTTAGTTAAACATGCAAAAATAATACGTTGAAAAAGCTTAAACATGGCGAGATAGTGAAGCCCGCATTTAAATATATAATAGATAAATGATAATAAATGAAAAATAAAAAATTAGGCGAAAGGTAGACAGACATAATCAAATTAATTTAAAAAAGCAGGTATACAACAGACCTTGCGGAAAACTAATTGAAAATTGGCCTTGCGGAAAACTAATTGAAAAATTTGCTTAAGCATTGCAATACATGATATAGCTTAAACATGAAAAAATTCTTTCGTTTAACATGCAAAATTCATATGCTTAAACATGGGAGATAGCTGTCACTCGCATTTAAATATAGTATAGATGACTGATTAAAATCAAATGGAAAGAAAAATCAAAATTGAAAAAAAAACTTTGTTTTGTCAGAAAATTTTTTTACATGCCAAAAAAAAGCATAAAAGATCCCAAACAAAGTTACCCGCACCCTTAGAAAATTTAGATGGAGCTTTCGGAAATCTAGAAAAAAGTCGAACTTTCAAAAAAGTCGTTCTGCAGTAACTAAGTGGTAAAAAATAAGCAGACAGACAAAAATTTCACATAGCCGAAAATTTTCAGTTTGCAAAAAAAAAACAGATTCAAAGACCCGCGCTTTGTCGTCAAGCATGGGTGCTAAATCAGCTTAGAATAAAGCTGAATCTTTCTTGTGAATTGCTTTAACACGCATGCTTGACGAGAAAGCCCGGGAGTTTGGTTCTGTTTTTTTTTAAACTTAAAACTTTTCGGCTATGTAAGATTTTTGTCTGTCTGCTTATTTTTTCCGGCTAATTAGGACTACGAGAGTTAAGCAGGTGTGTTACCTCTGCGCCACATGCACCAGGTAGTTGATTGAACTTATAATTTACACAGTGCCGTAATAGCAATTCACAAACACAAGCAAAAATATGACCGATAACGCTACTAGGAAAAACTGAACGAGTAAAACTTTGAGTCTACATAATTGCTAAGAGACGCAAGCCCATTAGAAGTACCAGTTAAATTGAAAAAAATACCAACTAACATACCTTAATTTATAGAGCGGACGCATTTTAACTAGTATACGAAAAAGTTCATCAAAACATCCGACCCTGTCCAGGTTCGAATCCTCTGATTTTGTTGCGGGTCTCCTTCCCTACCTCTATGCTACAGATCCATAATACCTTGAATCTAAAGTGATAATTGTAATATAATACTGTGTTAATATCCTTAGCATTTGCTGCACTTAATAGCTGGTTAATAATCAAAATGAACTTTCAAAATGAACACTAATATTTTCGACGTAGGTTGGAAAAAAGAGAGTTCATACAATCACGCAAGCTTTGCTGGAGTAATAATGAAAGAAGTATATGAAAGAGTCCAGGATCCAGGAGGTGAGTCCTTTGAACAAAGTTAATTACGGGAAAAAGTCTTATACCCGATTACAATACCCTTCCTTATCGCAAGGGCAAATTACAATGAAAATTACACAACCTAGCTTACAAAAAACTCGAAAAGTGTCACTTAAGTCAATTTAGCCGAATAAAAAATAACTGTTCTTCTACAGATAAATTATAGTAAATATTCTTTGATTTTCGAAGAAATTAATGAATCACTTAAATAATATTTCAAATTGTTAATTTTTATTGAAGTAATTTTTTCATCGTAAAACCTTTCCAATTAGATGAAACTGAAGAAACTTAAGCAAAACCAGTATTTTGTTTTACTCAGACAACCTTCCCGACCCAATTAAAAGCATGGCCAGACTATAGCTGCTGGTCTAGTATTATATAAAAGAGTAAAAAAAATAGCAATAAAACATTAAATTTAACAGAAACAGACTTTTGAGTTTTAAAACACAGGATCGTACACCATTGGCAACATAATGATCACAAAAGTTTATTCTGTATATTCTTCCGGAACTTACGAAAAACACGTCATAATAATTTCATGCAATGCATTGCGCTATTTAGTGCAGATCACCTCTTTCAAATTGAAAATATACTTTCAAAAAAACGGAAGTATCGAAAACGAAAATGAGAAATTCTGTGTCGCAAGTTAAAAATCAATTAGCTACTTCTTCAACTTTAATTTGGGCTTTCTCTGATGAAGTATCCTCTTGGATTCCATTGCCGTTAACATGATTGTGGCCATCATTTTGCTTGCTTTCATGCTTTGAATCATGACTGCGTGTGTCAGTTTTAGAATTTTCGTCGATGTTAGACTCGTTGAGTTTTTGCTGGCTGTCTTGCTCTGCTTTATTTAATTCTTCTTTTATATGGCCATTCGCTGAGTCTTTTCCCTAAACACAATTGATATTCACAAGAGCTTTTGAAAAAGCTCTTTTTCATGCAAATAAATCAACATATACTTGAAAAAAATTAAGACTAGATTTCTTTCATCATTAATTTGATTAGATACTAAATTTTCATGGATCTCATTAATTTCAATAATACTTCGCTTACCTTGTCCTTTTCTTTCCGTTCTCTGCTTCTTGACCGCTTGCTCTTCTTTGATCTAAAGTCAAAAATTTTTCAGCCAATTTTCAGACCATGCGAGCCGTTCATCCTACAGCCGCAATTACGCTTATTTTTTTTCATAAGACTGCACTTTCGAAGCCACCGGTTACCAGATTGTAAAACTTCACTTATATTCTGGACTCACCGAGAAGACGATCTCTTCCTGGATCCAGATCGCTTCCGTTTCTTCTCCGACTTCTCCTCTTTACTACTCTTCCCATGTCCATGTCTGCTACTCTCCTCCTTTTCTCTTCGTTCCTTTTCCTTTCGCTCACTTTTACTTCCAACTCTGTCTTCTTCCTTCTTGCGATTCGTTTTTGAAGTTGATTTCTTTCTTTCCCGCTTCGAACTTGCTTTTCTCGACCTTGACCTTTTCGACCGTTTGTCGTCCTTGGACGATCTTTTGGACGACTTCTCCCTGTCACGCGATCTGGACCTCCTTTTCTTAGATCTGGAGCGATATCTATAAATACTTACCATATTAGAACAAAGAGTGAATAAAACTAGTCGAGGGGTATATACTTTTTAAATTTGTTCATGATCAGGGGACCGAGTAAGACGCGAACGCGAGGACTACTCGGCAGGCGATATGCCGGAATTCAGCAACCGATTACCGACTGGTGGTTCGATTCAATTCACCCATTCTAACAACCAAGACTCACGTCATCCCGATTGGTTTGTCAACTCTTAACACGATGAGCATTGATTGGCTTGGGAGCGAAGCGGCTACACAAACACGTAATAACAAATTACTTCACATGAGAATAATAAGCAGTCGTAGTCAGTCTGGAGCAACTGAGTACAAATGAAGACCAACCACATTCACCTCCCATTTCGTGTTTTTCAAAAAACCTTTGGTACCAACAAAATTAACAACAAATTCGCAGGTTAATTGGCATAAATTATAAGAAGATAAAACTTTAACGCTAGATGCTTAATCTAATATGTGCTTAAGGTGACGAGAAAAAAAAGGTCACTCAAAGGAGTTACCTAGATGAATGTCGAGAGGATTTCTTCCTGGAGCTGGATCTCTTCTTGCTTGACCTACCAGGTGATCTAAAAACATGAATCTAATCTTAAGTCACAATTTGATTCGACGGTTCCACGGTACTATTAATTCTCCCAGAAATAAAATTTTTATCAGTTCAGCCTTCTTGAATCACTAATGGTTTTATCAGACAGAAAACTCAGTATCAACAGATAAAATGAAACCTACTTTGATCGCAATCTGGACTTGCTGGACCTGCCCCGACTGTCCGCTCGTTCTTTCTTCAAGGACAGCGACTTGTTCCTCATGAGGGGCGATGGACTCCTACTGCGTGGAACTGATGCCTTGTCTAAACAGGACAGCATCTCAAAAATCATCCACTCAGTATTTAAGAGCTTTTAGAAAGGCCTTTTTTTAGATAAGATCGCAAAATGGAACACTGGGGCAACTAATGAAGTAAAGAATTTATCAGAAACTACTATGGGAAAAGAATGAAACTTAACGATGATTCTCAACCGATTAAACCCAACAATAAGCACGAATAGCCGTCTTTTCCACCACGTTAATTTTTTGCAAAACAATCAATCAATTTTCAAAAAACATAGCCAACTGCTGACAGTTGGAAAAGTAATGCACGCAAGGAAACTGACTTGTTTTTTGAAAAAAAATTAATTTTCGAATTTTAATGAACAATAATATATGCCGCTAAGGCTCTTTGAATTTCACGAACAATTTATCATTGGTGTTTTTGATTAAATTAACCCACTTTGAGAAAACTGAATCGATAGGTAGAAATTTTTATTTCACTGGAAACCTGAGATTTAAATTCCGTTATCGGAATTAGAAACCGATCACGTTTATCGTGAAATTTACATTTTGGCTTCTCGATAGTGGATTTTGCCTTCCTTTTAGCAAATGAAGTGAACTGAAAAAGAAATCATAAGTCAAACCGCGAAAAATCAAAATTGAGCGTTAACAAATTTTAAGACTTTTTCCTTAAAAAAAACACAAAAGAATCACCCAGACCTATATGAGAGGGTAGTAGTATATAAACGAGCCGAAGTTTAAACCAGCCGATTTATCGACCAGCCGAAGTATCAATCAGCCGAAAATACGTAATAGCTATATAATAGTTATGTAGATATTATGTAAGTTACGAAAGTCATGCTAATTTCATTGACGTGACGCAACGTTTCGGCAGGCTTATATACTCCGCGCATTTTCGGTTGGTTTATACTTCAGCTGGTTTATTTACTCTCATATGTACATAACTCTGTATATTTACACTCACTACGTTCATTACACTTACCAGCTTTTTTTATTTTGAATCAAATTTGTATCATTTTGTTCGCTTTGTGGAGGGTCAGGATTAAAACCTAGCTTAAATGAAACCACCAATGTCTTTCTTAAGGCATATTGATGAAACTTGAATAATTTTCACTAGCAATGTATGAACATGAAGAAACAGACTTTTAAACTCTAAACTGGTTAAGGAGCAAAAATTTCAAACTGTCTTTATCAAAAAAAAACATTTGGGGAGCATTTTTAATATAGATCAAATCAAGAAAGGATGAAAAGATTTGAATCAAATTATACACAATGCAACAAATTCAGGCTGGAGATTTCCTGTGGAGATGACAGGCAACGGGATCATGGGATCCACCAGTCGCCTGCCCTTAAATCAAGACTAAAAAGGCTGCATAAGTATAATCACACGACCCTTAATCACACAACGAGTAATCACAGAGAATAGATCACACGACCCCATCTGGCGATTGTTTATGGTACATGATTTTGATTCGAAGAAAAGTTAAACGTATAAAATAATTAAAAATCAAAGCTACGAGCGAGTAATCAGTCATTAAATTTCATTTTTTCAGAATGAAACCTACCTGGTTCGATGAAAACACGTATTATGAATTCTGCGTCCTTGTACTGTTTAGCAGCTAGCTTCAGCTCTGACCTGGCAACCTCATTGGTGGGGAACAGAGGTGCGTCTACCTGGGTGCCCGAGTGGTTCACACTGAAACATGTACATGAGCAATGACAACAACCAGACGCTAAGGTGAGGTAAAACACAACCAGACGCTAAGGTGAGGTACAACTAGTTAATATATGAAACAAGTTAAATAACACAGTGGTGAACTTCGCAAACACAATCGAAAAAGCTGCAAAAATTCCAAAATCCGTGGTGGAATATATTGGTTTAGAAGGCCTTGTGCGACCACCAATGTGTTACGGGTTAACGTTCCAGGCAGTACAATGGTTCAGGATTTAACAGGTGAAAAAAAGTTATAAAAGAAAAACTCAAATAACCGGCGTTTTTTCAAAAAACGTGCACATAGATGGAGCCAGATCTCAACAACTGAAATGAAATGTGACCTCAACTTTTTTTAAAAGATGATTCGCAAGTAGGATCAAGGTTGATTCCTGTAAAACTTTTCGAAAAAAATTCTTCTTCATACCGAAAAATCACTTTTCGTCGCTATCAGAGGGTAAAAAATGACCAAAATGGGTCATTTTTTAAAATAAAATGGAGTATTTTGGCTAATTTCACTCAATTTTAGAAATTGTGATCATTTCTAAACGTAACACATCAAGTTCAATTTTTTAACGAAAGAGTTAGGGATATTTAGCGAGTGAAAAAAAAAGTTATAAAGGAAAAACTCAATTGAGAAACAATCAACTGGGAAATCAAAACCATGAAATTTATATTAATTCGTTTTGCTCAAATAAGCCATACTAAATTCGTTTTGCTTAAATAAGCCATACTTTATATTAATTCGTTTTGCTCAAATAAGCCACACATACTGACTTCCAAAGAAAAGTGTTAAAAGCTCTCGAAGTTTTGAAATTAGGCCTATAATTACTAAACTTCAAACCTTCGAAACTATATTAACACAGCCAATCGAAAATTGGAAAAGAGTATTGAACGCAAGTAAACAAAAAAAACTAACGTAGCCAACTGACAGTTGGAAAAGAGTAATGAACGCAAGGAAACTAACAAAAAACTGTTTTTTCAAAAATCTCTACTTACGAATTTCAAAGAAAAAATAGATGACCTTTAAGCTCCTTGAATTTCTAAAACGATTCATTATGGCGCTTTTTTGATATTATTTACCCAACTTGAGAAAACTGGATCAATAGGTAAAATTTTTATTCCGCTAGAAAACTAAAAATTAAATTCCATTATCGAAACTAGAAACCGTTCACGTTTTTTCGCACCATTTCCACGTTCGTATTTGGAGAAGGCTATTTACGTTACTTTCAGTAGATGAACTTCAATTGAAGTCAAAAAGTACATATATACCTAAGTGCATTCATGAATGCATCAATATGTATGAATGCACATCTGTAGTTACACAGAGGCGAAGTTGAACTTCGCATACACAAGCAAAAAAATATGACTAGTTAAACAGGTCCCGCCCCGTATTCGAACAGCAAGCCTTTGCCGTCTGAAGCAGGTGTTACCTCTTCGCCACATGCACCAGGTGGTTGATTGAACTTAAAAATTACACAGTGTTCAAAGTTGCAATTCGCATACACAAGCAAAAATATAACCGATAACGCTGCTGTGAAAAAATTGAGTGAGTAAAACTTTGAGTCTATGAAAATTCATAAGTGACGCACGCCAATTATGAGTCTATATAATTGCTAAGTGACGCAGGCCAATTATGACGCATTAGCGGTACCAGTCAATTTGAAAAAAAAACCAACTATCATTCCTCAATTTTTAGAGCGGACGCATTTTAACTAGCATACGGGAAAACAAAGAAAGTTCATACTACAACACAAGCTATGCTTGTGTAATTAAAGAACTTTTCCTGAAAAAATTAGCAAGACCTTTATAAGAATCTTCATAACGTTACTTCATAAAATTGTAACAGGTGGCCTATCTTTTTACATTTGTGCAAAGGGCGCCAATATCTAAAAACGAATCAGACAATTTTGAGAGATAATATTATACACAGAGGCGAAGCAAACACTTGCGAGAACACGACCAAAAAGCAGCTCTATCAAGTGAAATAAGAAAAAGTAGAAATCAGCATCGAATTCACAAGAACTCGGCTATGTGTAGGATTCGAATTTGCGACCTACTGCAATCAAAAAAATTTGTCTCACGCACTATTATTTCAGCCACTCAAGCTTAACAACCGATTAGTGACAAATAAAGCAGCTAAATATGCTAATAACTTGCAAATTCTATTCAGCAAAAGTCGCACCAAATACAAATAGACTCAATTTTGCAAGTAATAACTTGGAATATGACAAACTGAAAGCATTCGCACTAACTTTGCATGTAACAAATCGCCAAGCATAAAGGCACATTATGCATAAACTATGCATTCCGAAAATTGCAAGATATATTGAGTTAGAAAATTGCGGAAATCTAGTTTCTATTTATGTTATGTTGTTTAAAGCAAATAATTTTTTCGGTTCATTTGATGAATTAAAAATGCATCAACTGTTTTAACTTATTACTCATCGAATGTCAAAGCACATGCTATCAAAAAGCTGAAAAAGTGCTCCAAAAAGGGCACCTATATTTTAAACAGTTTTAAGATATAGACGCCGTGAAATCAAGTGATTAAACGTAGCTCGCCAATAAAATGTTTTTTTTTCGTAAAATTTTGAAGGCTAGAAAAAAAATGAAATTTTAATTTCCTGGCCTAAAAAACGCGCAATTTTCTACACTTATTTACGATGTTCAACGAATAAGCTCGACTTATTTGAGCGCTGCTAATTAATTGTATATTAATTACACATGCGAAGCAGCGATTTGCACCACTTGCAATAAAAAAACCAAAAAAAAACGCTGTCAGAAAAAAAATTCAAAAATGAATGTCAAAAAATTTAGATCTATCCAAATGAATCACGCTAGTTCTGAAACAAAAACTTGGCCATTTTGAGATAGCTGGAATCGTACAAAAATCAAACGCCTTAAGGCGGAATAATATTGCAAAACGCGGCCTTTTTAGGTTGGAGGAAATTGACTATTTAGGAGAAAGGGGGAACTTTTGAACACTATTATTTTCCTAAAAAAATTTCATAAAATTCTATATTGTGCTGTCCATAGTTGGATTGAATATGTTCAATTATGTCGTGTAGAATCAAGCAGATAAGAGAAAAATATCGGAACTAGCATCCGTGTATTACGGCAAGATAGGCTGTTTGTTATTCTTAAAAACTGTACATCCCCCAATCACTGTATTTCTTTAAAAAAGACCAAAATTCACCTTCAGTTTTACTGTGAAAACGGCGAGAATTACTCGAAATACGGGGAAAAGATGCATCCTAAGTTAATAAATCCTGACGATATGTGTTGGTTATTTTGTTTTACAGGCAAATCTTGATAGTGAATTTGTAATAACCTTCAATTAATTTGTTCAGTTGTAATGGCACGCTTGGACAATTAATTTCTAGAGCATGAAAACTGGTGATATTTAACTCAACGAAAATTTAGCTACCATTAAAAGTGATTTACGACGTCTCCAAAGCCTCAAAGACTAGTCAAATTGCTACCAGCAAACAAAAGCAAAATATCTACTTTCAATTCCTAATAAAAATTATACCGGTCCTGAATATAACAGTTTAATATCCAGTTATAAGTTCAAAATCCATTTCAAACCTCTGATTTGTTTCTTTTTATTTAAAAAGATGAATTGCAATAGGTAATGGAAAAATGAAAACTTTTAAAAATTTTATCTATGCTTTAAATTAATTAAGTTAAATTTTAATAAGTTCACTGACAATCTTTCGTACATCATGGGTCATTGCGACTAACAATTTTATGTTGACTAACGTGATTTTGCGGGAGTTGTATTCGGTTCCGCTCATCTTCAGAGCGGGAATAACGCTGGCTTTATCTGAGAACTCAATATAGGCAGCACACTGCTCGTCGAAGCTGTCCTGTGAGTCGGCCATTGCTATGGCCACGTAGTTGACAGAGCCGACTTGACTAAAATATTCCACAAGCACCTCACCGCTCGTCTAGAATAGGAGACACGGTTAGTCACTTGCCAATGATATAACAGCAACACTCAAGTATTACTTGGAACTTAAATCACAAACAGCCGAAGTTCCAGAAACAAATCCGAAACCTGTCGTTATTTTCAAGAGCCAGCGATTCAAAACTACAGCTGACATTTCTGCTAAAAGAGAACCAGATTTATACACCATTAATCACTACAATTCAATAGTAGTGATTTACCGTTTTCTCAAAAATTCAGTCAGAGCAAGAGATTCGCGCTTAAGGACCCGTTTACTTTTCCCAAGTCTAAGCTGCGTTTTCACTTGAAATCAATCTATCAAAATTTGTTACAAAAGTCTGCTAAATTAGAAACAAATCACAGCCATCTTTATAAGCCTATGAAACCATTTAATTTGTGAAGGTATTAAAAATATGGTCAACATAAGAACAAAAGACTTCTTCCAGAGAACATGACCTGCAGACAGCTGTAAACAAATTAATGAACTCTAGAAAGCAAAAAAAATGTATCCATTATCATCTCAAAGCTCTTCGAACTTTACGAACTTTTCATATTTACAACTTTTTTGATGAATCTAACCCAATTTGCCAATTTGAAAAAAAATATCGATGGTATTATTTTGATTCCGCAGGAAAACCCGGCATTTTTTTGTGCAATTTCAACTTTTGAGCTTTGTTGTTAATTGCCCAGATGAGAGGCTGTAGTTGTGCCATCATCAGACATTTGTAGCTGACTGTTGAACCTCTGCAAGGCGGCACATCTTAACCCCATATTTGGCTACTCCCCACCTGCTAATTTTCGCTTTAAAAACCTGCGGTCTAGAAGAAGGAAAAAAGCCTTTTCTTGATGTTCCTATCATTGAAAACGGGGAGAAACTTTTTCTTTGCGCGTATTTTAGTTTCGTAAAATCAGGCACAGCAAATGAATATCAGAATGGGTTGATTGTCATATCATATAAAAATGATGCGTCGAAATGAACCCTTAAAATCAGGTACCAAAAATGATCATCAGATAGGGTCGAAAGTCGTATTATCTGAAACTGAGTCCTGATTGATACTATATTTGAAAATTCCAAAACGTTTTCTCAGCATCGAAAAAAAAAACGGTTTAAAAATTTTGACAGTCTAATTTCGACCAAAAAAGCGAGCGAGCAGGCGTATTAGTGATGAAAAAGCCGTTTGACTTTTATTCAAGCCCTGAAAACTCAATTTTAATCCAGCAAAATTGGTTTTGGAAGTTGTTTAGCGCCATCTTGGTAATGAAAAACCTCAAATTAAAAAAAGATCCGCCAAAAAAGAAGATTAGAAAAACGTCGTTTCATTATACCACGCACAAAAAAAAACGCCCCAAAAACAAAAGAAATGGTTTTGGTTCGTTTTTTTTTTAAGAATATGATCGGAACAATCTGTGCAACTTGCACAGCAACCGACTCCCCTTGTTTATTTTGTTATCACAGAACGCAATTTGGCTTCCATTTGGAAAATGAAATGAACTTTGAAAGTAGGCGAAGTCAAAAATTAAGTTTGCCAAAGATTTTGCTTTTTTATGAAAAATAATGACTCACCGCTGGGTTTAGGTTTCTGACATAGACTGTTCTGCGGATCTTCTCCACGGTGACTGGGTCTAGACTGGCGGGTAGGGGCGGAGGCTGTGATAGACCCAGTTGGGCCAGGTCTGGGTCGAAAGGAGGGTTCACCATCTGCACGGTGCCTGGAACCTGATTAAATCGACAATAAGAATTGTGTATTTAGGGCACCTTTATCTGGCTGATCAAAAGCTCAGATCTCTTATACCTTCTTTTGAAATTCAGCGATATTTTGCTCAATTACTTACTGGGATTGGTTGTATGGTATGTGCTCCTGCCATCTCTAAGCCCCGCTCTTCTGAAGGGATACGATCTACAGCAACAACAGAAACATTTAACCAAAACCTAAATTTGCAGCAAAACATTCATGTAGAAATGAAAAAGAATATGCTGTAAAGCTTAAAACACCATGTTCGGATATGCAATTTGGAACCAAATGGTTGCTATCTAATTATTTCCGTATCAATAAAGAAATAATTAACTTCTTCGGCATACTACCTTCAGGGAAAAGAGAAACCACCAGCATCTTGTCTATCAGTGTAGATCCATTCAGCAGAGATGCCACATACGCCTCATCACTGTTTTTGTACTTCACAAAACAGATTTTCGCATCAACCGGAATTGGGGATTTCCTACAACAAAAAATATGTAGCATTATAACATAATATGTAGCATTATTACATATAATTGATTTGAGTCAATCAAACCGCAAGACAATCTATAACACAGCACAGCTTCAGGAAACGCCCAAAAACAAAATTGCCGACATTAAACAAGTATTCAAAAACATTCATCTAGTGCAAAATAAGACGACACAAAGTGGGAAAACTCCGGTAGAGCCAAAAACGAAATTGAAGTCATGGAGAATTTTTGCAAGTAATGGAAGTCTACATTTTTACCCTCCTCAAACACACGATAGAATACAAACATATTTTCCTTTCCAAAGACGCAAAAATAGATAACTAAGCCGGTAAAAAACATCAGCTGAAACAATTGAGACCAAACTTCCTAAATTCACAAGTTTGAAAAAAAAACTGGGTTATGCCGAATCTGGACAGGACTTGAGATTAATTGTTTCAGTTAAACTGAAATTGCCTAGTAATATGCAGCGCACGTTCGATTTGAACCCGCAATCTTGAATTCGGGGCACTGTTGCGCCACAAGACCAAGTGCTACCTCGCGACCAAATGGGACGGAGAAGCTGAGAAATTGGAATTTATCAAAAGCTATCCACAAAAAGAAAACTTAGGTAATAGTATCCAAACAAAAAATCTAAATCAAGTTTTTTTAAATTTATATTTATACTGGAATTTTTAAAGAGTTCCAAGTGGCGGTGAATATGAGCATTTCCAGATAATAGAATGCAAAATTAGCATCGGAACAAAACTTACCAAGCGTTAACAAAACGGAAAAGACCTCAGCAGAAACCCTTTATGCCAAAAAAAAAATTCTTGATAAATTTTTTTGAGTCTCCCTTCCAGCCAGAACACATTGGCACACAAAAACATTTTGGTCATCAAACGACGCAATAAGAGGCGACTAATTAAATTTTTTAAAAATGCCGAAACTGATTAAGCCGAGAAAAACACCAAAAAAAAGAAAAAATTAAATTTTAACAAATCGAGTTGATAAAATTACAACCAATATCAAAATTTTGATTCGACCAGATTTTTAAAATGCTAAAACACTTTAAGCAACTTATTATTATTTAAATTATTTTCAACAAAAATAAACGATTTTTAGATCTGGTAACTAAGTCGACAAAATATAAGTAGACAATTAAAAGGCCGAAATTATTTTGAACAGGAATCTATACCTTTGAGAAAAAAACAGGTCCAGGTCAAATTCGAACCCTGGACCTTTGACGCTCCAGGCGCATCGAAGTATCAAGAATAATCGATGAGAATATCTGAACACAGCTAAAATGAAAAGAGAAAAAACTCGAAAAAAAAAATTTAGAAAAAACTTTTTCAAAGAAGGTCGGCGAAGTGATATTAATTTTCAAACATACCTTATCAAAATTAATATCAAAAAACGCCTGGAAACAAATTTAAAAAACATTGGTTAAATAAGCCGATAGAATTAAGTCGACACTTAGCAAGCTGGCTAACAGCCGAAATAGTATCAATAAAAATCATAAAAAGATTTGCATCTACCGACTTCAATGCAAGCCCTACAGTCAAAACAGGCTTTTTCAGCTACATATTTGTAAATTCACCATTTCAACCCTCTTTCTAATTCTTTACCAATCTGTGAAGAAAGTTATTTACGGGGAAAAAGTCTAGCACCCGGTTTCTAATTTTGGGCCGCATATTAGAAAAAACCCAAAATATTTTAAGCTACTCACTCTGACGGGTATATTTTGATGTCTTCAATCTGTCCGATGTAGTTGAAAAACTTCTCCAGCTGGTAGAGACTGGTTGAGTGGGAGACATTACTCACTCTAACTATCTTCCCCATCCTTTAACACGCTTTCTCTTCTAATTATCTATTCAATTCCACTCAGCCGCTCTCTCTTGAAGGTTCTCTTCAAAGGTACTTACTTGATTACTCAGTCTCACAGACTGTCTGACTGTGTTTTCGCAAATATTAATCTGAAATTTTTCATCATGACAGATCTAGTTTCCATTTTAACTTCTATGGTTCACAATTTGAACCCGACTCAAAACAGCTGCAAAATTGTTAGACATTTTTTTTCCACCGCTGAGCCGCCATTTTATCTTTAAACTATTCAAATTCTCTGCTTTATGACAATAGGACGTGAAACTGATTTAACACTTTAATCAACCAAATGGCATCTAGAAAAAGACTAAAGAATGATCTGGTTTGTGTTTACATCATACAAATTGGAGTGGAAAATTAAAAATGTGTATAAAAAATGGAAGATTTTAAAAAATGAAATTGATTAGACGAGAGCCTAAAACGCTAGACGCCTGAAATCAGACAGTTTGTGGCTTCCACCAAAATGATCTGCAATTTGCAAAAGGAACATATAAAAATGACGAAATGTAAGATATGATTTGGAAGCAATTTATGGTAACACTCATAACTGAAATAAAAGAATCTCAATTGACAAACTTACGAGCAAGAAATCGTTGCCAAAGAAGAAGAATCGCAGGTAAAAAAGTTTTGGAACAATTTGATAACAGAAATTTTGATTGAAAAAAAAATTAGCCTAATTGTTGTGATAAACATATTAAATAGAGAAGTGAAAATGGAATCACATGATGAAACCGCGATTGATCCACCCACTCTAAGATTCCAAGACCAGGCGCCAATTGCTAAGCCCGACAACAAAAGGACATGTGCTGCTCTCAGCCCACCAGACGAAGAACCCGTATTAGAAAAACTAGAAGCAACCATTGAAAAGGCAATTGAAAACAAAATTCCAGATATTGTGAAAATGTTGACTGAGGATCTAAAAGGGACAATTCTACAAGTGATCAATGAGCTTCTGACTGCAACAAAAAATGAAATTCTTGGGGAAGTACAAAAAGAACTAAAAAATAGTGAAACGGGCACTCTCGTGAAAGCCATGTGCGAAGACGAACATCTAGAGAATTACAATAGGCGAGATAATTTGAAGATATTGGGATTTCTAGAGCAAGTACAGAGGGATTCGAATGGTAACAGCATTTTTGAAAATTATGTCAAGACCATCAACAATTTTATCCAATTGGCAACAAACATTGGGGCAAATGTTACTCCTGCTGATATTTCAATAGCGCATCGGTTGCCAACTCGGACAAACAACGCAAACCGACCAATTATTGTACGTTTCTCGAGAAGGGTGGCAAAAATAAATATTCTGCGAAAAAAGAAGGCACTCAAAGACAATGAACAGAGTGCCCAAATTCACGTGTTTGAAGATCTGACTAGTACAAGGGTTAATTTTATGAAATTCATGAAACAGGATAACCGTATTAATGGAGTTTGGACCAGGGACGGGAACCTGCTCTATCAGTGGAAGAACAGCGAAAGAGTTGGAAAAATAACTAGCCTTCATGAAGGAGTGGCGCAGTTGGGATATACTGTAAAAGATGTAATAAATTGCTTTGTAAATAAAGGTGATATTTTTAAGGGAGAGTCTGGCTCCATTGGAACCTGAAAACTCTGATGAACCTGATGTAATTACTAATTTTACTGTCTTGTTGTGTAATACTAGATCGATTAAAAAACATAGTGAAGAACTGGAAGCACTAGTTAAATGTCTCGAGTCTCCAAAAGTCATTTTTACTACAGAAACATGGCTAAGTAAGGAAGATAATAAAGAGCTTTTTACAATGAAAAATTTCACGTCCTTTGCTTGTAATAGACAAATGAATAGAGGTGGTGGGTCGATGATCCAAATTAGAGATAATATTACTTACATCCAAGAGATAAAATGTAGCTTACCAGAAACTAAGGCAAAATTAGTGAAATATGCGAATGTTAGAATCATTTTGGTTGTTACCTATTTAAAGCCACGTTCCGATAAAGGATTATTCATCGAAAAATTAGATGAGTTTCTGGAAGAATTGTCTAACCACAATGGCCCTATAATTTTTGGCGGTGACTTTAATATTGATATCTTACAACAAAGTAACCTTGTAAATAACTATCTAAATACTATAGCAGCAAATGGCTTCATTCTCACAAGTGATACCCTAACTCGAATAACAGCTGAATCAAACACGTGTAACGACCATTTCTTTGTAAAAAATATTCCGGAATATTAAGTAAAAATTTTGGAAGAGCATACGTTAACTGATCATTGCCCAATTTTGCTAAATTTCAGAATATCTCGTAAACAGGATACAAAGAAAATATTTCGGGATTTAAAATTCCTTAACGATGAAGTTAAAATCCTTAGTTTCCAAAATTCTCTCAAAGTAAAATTAGAAGAAGCACATCTTTTAGTTGATGAAAATATCAATTCCTCGTACGAATCTTTCCAAAATTGCTTTAACAAAACGATTGATGAATATGCACCTGTACGTATATGCACTGCAAAAGATTGCTCTTCGGCAGGGTGGGTCAGCAAAGAAATAAAAAAGTCAATTAGTTCCAGGAACAGAATGTATAAGGAATGGAAACGTAACAAAACAAATAAGACCAAGCGCGAAAAATTCCTCGCCGAGAGGAGTAAAGTAGAGTAGGAGCATTGGAGACTCGAGACAGGTTTTTAAAATATTAAATGAAATAATAGGAAAATGTCCAAGGAGTGGAAACGTTCCTCTTCTTAAAAATGGAGATTTAGAAATAGATAATAATCAGGAGATCGCCAACCACTTAAATGATCACTTCGCTAACATTGCGCCAAAACTTCTGGCATCATTACTAAGTGATAGCAGAGAGTCTCATGAGACTTATTCAAAATATAAGGCACCACAATCAATGTTCTTACACAAAGTAACAATGTTCGAAGTCCTGGAAATAATAGAGAATCTAAAAGCGAAACAGTCTACGGGAGTAGATGAAATAAGCAATATTATCATTAAGAAAGTTTCTCATGTAATTGCGCCATATTTAACTTATTTGATAAACCTCTAATTCGAATCGGGCCAATATCCCGAACAACTCAAGAGCGTCAAAATCCAGCCCTTCTAAAAAGAAGGTAGTAAAACAGATGAAAATAACTACAGGCCCATTTCCTGACTAAATTGTTGCAGTAAAATCTTTGAAAAATTAATGCATATTCGCCTATACAACTATTTGAACAAGTTCAACCTTTTATATGAAAAACAATTTGGATTTAGACAGAAATACAATACTATCGATGCATTAGTTGAGTTAACAGAAAAACTTAGGTACGGTGGTAAGTCAATGAAATTCAGTATGTTCCTAGATCTTAAGAAAGCCTTTGATACATTGGATCATGAACTACTTTTACACAAATTAGAAAACTACGGAATAAGAGGATTGTGTAATGATTGGTTTCGAAATTATCTCTGCAATCGTAGGCAATGTGTGTTCACAAACTCCGTTTACTCTGATTGGACGAATGTTTCGCATGGAGTTCCGCAAGGTTCCGTGATCGGTCCGTTATTGTTTTTAATATATATTAATGATATGCCCAATTGCGTAAAAGACACAACCGTTTACCTATTTGCAGATGATACCAATGTCACTTGTGAAAACGAATCTTTCGAGGTCTTCACCAACGACATACAAAATATATGTTACTGGCTATATAGAAATAAGCTAACACTTAATGGAGATAAATCAATATTACTAAGTTTCCAAAACAAAGTAAGTGCTTCCAGTCTTCAGTTGTGCATTAACAATTCTATGGTTACTTCTAAGGCGTATTGCAAATATCTAGGTGTTTTTGCGGATTCAAAACTATCATTTTGTACGCACGTTGAAAAATTAAAAGCGAAACTAGGAAGGCATTGTGGAGTTATTGCTCAAATGAGAAAATTTGTACCCATAGATGCGCTAATAAAATATTATTGTTACAACATCAAACCCATTATACAATATGGATTACTTATACATAGGGAGAACGAGCTTCTCGAATCTCAATCTAATTTTCCTTTTGCAGAAAAAATAATTCGAATGATTTACAAGGCAAGGAAATTTGATAGTATTAGGGAAAGGTTAAGAACACAAAATTTTAACATTTCATGAGCTGTATGTGTACGATCTTCTCAAATTTTGCTTAAGATCAATAAGCAAGTTGAATTCAACCGCATTTCTTAACGATTTTTTCACTCTGAAAACAAAATCGGCTTATTTTACCAGAAAATTTATAGGTATTCAATTTGAAGCTCCTTGCTGTAAGACAAAAACGAAAAGACAATCGATATGGTTAAGAGGATGCAAACTGCTGAAGATATTTAGAGATAATAACTTGCTCCCGGAAAATGTTTTAAACTTAAAAAAAGGGGAACTAAATAACTTGCCACATATGCTAAGAGATACGTTTATACATGAAAATTACGAACTTGTTTGGTATATTTTTGCTTTATGATTATAAATATGACTGTGTTCAGGTGCAGGGTGAGGCGGCTCGAACTGTATTCTTTCAGAAGACCAGGCGTTGTCTCCGGGCAACATAGTTTAATACTATTCGAGTCTGAGTATGGGTATACAGTTTTGGGTTGTTTTGCTTTGCACCTAAAGGACATAGTCATATTTCAAGAAATTTTGAAAAATTGTCAAAAAGAGGGCGTTACTCTGCCCAAATTTCTAGAGAATTTAAGGGCTTTTTTTCGCGAGGTGGATGAGGCGTTAATTAACTTCTAAAAACTTATAATTTTTCTTTTTGCTAATTGGTTTCATAAAAATTATATTTATCACTTATTCATATCTCATTGATGTGCTTTTCTTTTGTGTAATCTGTGGGGTACGCTCCTAGTGGGTTTGAAGAAAACCCTTTGCGTATCCTCACTTAACAATCCTGGGTAAACTGTTGATTCATTTATTATGTGATAAAACAATATTCTTTTTGTTTAATGTAATAGTGTATCTGATTTTGTTAAGTGAAATTAATTCTTCTTCTTCTTCTTCTATTATATCGAAAAACTCGAGATGTAAGGGTACATGACTTGATTTTTGAGGACTACGACCAAAAAAAACCTTAAAACCCTCAATCCCAAAATCAATAAAATATACTGCTCTATAATTAACGCTAACTAGAAAAAAATGTAGACTCAATTTTTGATCGCTGGTTTTTTCAAAATTTTATCTGGTATTAGTCATCTTAAATTAAAAAATAGCCTCTTATGCTTCTTAAACAAAAATTAAAAAAATGTGAAAATCAAACCGCAAAACAGCAAGTTAGAGCATGATTAACCAAGAAATTTCATGAAAAAAACATAGCCAACAGACAAGTTTGAAAAACGTCAACCAACAAGAACACCAAAAAAAAAATTCATAAGATTTTAGAGAGCTTTGAGGTGATATGTTGTTCCGTTTCAGACCCGAAAATTTTCAATATTTTACAATTTGAGAAAACATCTATAAAAACTGGATCAATGTGTAATTTTTAGTATTCTGCAAGGAAATCGTAAATAAGAAACTCTTTCGAAAGTAAAAAACGTCAACCACGTTTTTTCGCGCCATTTGAACTTACGCTTCTGAAGAGCTTAAAATCACACCACTTTAAAATATCTTCCTTTTTTTATTTGTTCACACTAGATGAAAAACCATACGATCTAAGAAAGTGGCTTCGCTTCATTCATTGATACTTAATTAAGATAGCACCCGATTTAGTGATTATGATAGACAAGTTGTAATCCTGGGAAAAAAAGTTCCAATCATGGAAAAAATGTTCCAAGTCAGAAAAAGGAAATAACTCATAACTTTTCTGAACACCAAAAAACGTATTCCAAATTTTCTTCCCAACATGAATGACGACAGAAAGGAATTCACTTATGATACTTCACTCGTTCTTCTGTGACATATGTTTGTGCAGGGGCGAATTTAGTCGCCCCCCCCCCCCACCCCCTCAGGGATTCGACCCCTCATCAACCAAAGGGTCCCCACTTTGGTTTTATTTTATGACATTTATTTTCAGCCCATCAACCCTAATAATTTTCTAATTTCTACTAATTTTTAAGTGGAGCGCTCAGGAATTGTTTTTGGTCTAAATTTTCCAAAACGTGCCCAAAAACGACAATATTGACCAGTTTTTCAAAAAAATTGTCTGCGGCGCAAAAGTTTTTGTCAAAATTTGGTCTTTATTGTGTTCTGGAAACTCTCGGAAACTCAATTTGGTTGATCAATAAAAAAATTGAAATCCACCCCCGCCTCGAGAAAATCTTAGATCCGCCCCGCTGTATGTTGTACCTGACTACTCGTGGAAAAAAACTAAAATTTCTGGCCTTCCATGATTGGACTAACTCAGCGCAAATAAAATTCAAAGCCTAAAAACATCTGCAATTCATTTTAAGGCTGAACTCACACTATTGAATAGCTTGAGGTCCACCGAAACCAGACCAATTTCGGCATTATATCTCGCCGATGTTGTTTGAAAGAAAATATGAGAGTAGAAACGCCGCGGACAAACTAAAAACCATTTTCATTATTTCTGTAAAAAAAAATCTCTTCAACTCAGCAGGGGTGTTTTAGGGTATTCGACCCACCAACCAAACGGTCTTCCCTTTGGTATTATTTTACACTGAGGCGAAGTTGAGCTTCTAAACACTTGCGATGCAAACAAAAACACAATGCGCTTACGAAATAGTGAATAAAAAAACTGAAAAATTATGTTGCAAAAAAATAAAATAAAACAACTTGACAGAAGTTGGAAAACTACAGCAACAAAAAGTTCATATTTGTATCAGACGAAGTTCATAAACATCAATTATAAAATGGAAATCATTTATCGAGTGGGAACAAAGGCGACAAACTTTGGGTCGGAACCTGTTGCGCCGAAAACAAAACTGTTGTCAAAAAAAATTTCTTTACATTTAAACGTTTTTAAGACCCATCCAAACTGAAACACATAATCCCAAACGGATATGATTAACCCTCGAAAGTACGCAAAAAAAGGCTAAGTCGATATAACATAAACTGAAACTGTTTAAATATTTAAGAAATTTTGAAAAAAAAAACTCAAAATCAGATATGGTAAATTTACAAATTTGCGAAGGTTCAGTTATAGTGAAAACTGTTCAAATTGTAAAAACTCATGATTTAAAAATTAAAGCAATAAAAACCCTGCCAGATAAAAAAAACTGCGTTTAAAAAACGGAAAATGAACCGACAAAAACCAGCAACACGAAAAAAAATGAGAGATAATTTTAAAAAAAGATAATTACAACCTGAAACCGGCTTGAACTAATTACTAGCTAAGTATTAGTGCTTTTTTTGAATTTTCAAGAAATTGAGCATGTCAGATGAAAGATCCTTTGGAAGTGAAGATCCTCTAGAAGTGAAGATCCTGAGGACAAAGTTGTTTACGGGAAAAAAGTCTAGTACATGATTGCAATAACCATGCTTATCGGTGATGTCTAATGCATCCATTTTTGGCGACCAACCAAAAAATTTCTAAGGCCACCAGTTTTTTCAACAAGTTACCGGCAGGATCCATCAATAGACCCTTCCCTTCACCCATCCGCCATTAGACGCCTTCGCCCGATTTACAATTCAATTAATTGCCTTTGGTACAATTATGTATTATCATTTTAGGCTGACGAAATCTTAGTTTTGAATCGCTGCATTGTAACGGCTAAAATTGAAAAACAATACTAAACAGATACAATTTAGGAATTAACTTTTTAAAAGAAAATACTGAAAAACAGCAAAAAAAAAATTCGGGGCATTCAAACACTGTCGACAGAATATAAACTAATAATGCATACTTTTGCGGAAAATTCGACCAACTACAACTCAAAAGTTACCCCATGCTGTGTATCGCTGTACAGGTGTTCATTTCCCCGAAACTCGTGAATTTTGATTTATATTACTGAAACATAACGTTACTTGAAAAATTTAAACTAGCAAAACCACAATATAAACTTTATATATATATATCATAAACTTACAGGTAAACTATCAAAAGAGAATCAATTATTGGTAGTCCAATACAGAAAAGCACAAATAAAATAGTTTCAAAAATATAATACAAACTTTATTATATATCTTACAACATAAGGCAAAAATGATGAGACAAAACGGCTAAGTCGAAAAACCGAGGATACAGACATAACACTAAAAAAAATCTTCACTCGCTTGAGCTTGATTCAGTTGTAGCTTTGACTTGGAATGTAATACTTGCGAAGAGTTGGCTCGTCTTTGGCATTGTACATCGCTTTGTAAGTATGGATCAAAAGTCTTGGGAACCTTGAGGTGAAATAATTTATAAACCCGTCTGGAACAGGACCAAGAGAATCTTTGACCTCCTGAGGAAGTTCCCTATAATGGTGCTTTTTATTTCTCATCGCACGTAACAAATCCCTAACTGAAGTTCCATCGTAATTCCTATACTTCCTTAGATCTCCCTGTAGCTCCTGGGTGACATTCAGTCTCCAATTCCCACATACGACAGTTCTTCCGTTACACTCAAGAGCCCGGATCGTGGGCGCAACTGGATCTTCTTTTTCGATGGCATCGCTCACATCTTGCAGGTATTGTAGCTGTTTATCCAGGGACCAGAAAAATGGATGTAATAATGCTCTGGAAACAGGTGGTCGGGAACTGGGATCTTTCGAAATCATGCCTGATATGATGTCATATGCTACTAGGTTCTCACTACTCTCAACGTCGAACAGGTGTTTCAAGCTAGCAAGATCTCCTTCGATATTATGTTGCCTTTTCTGTTTATCGTTTTCATCATTTGGATCCGAAAATGGATGATGGCCTTTGGTATGAACGTAGTAAAACACACATCCCATTGAGAACAGGTCCACTGCATAGGATGGTTTAAAACCGGATCCTCTATTCTTCATGATTTCAGGAGCAATCCAGCCAAGAGTTCCAGCAACGCCATTTGGGGACGACATAGAAAACGACTGATGTCCATGGTTCAGTTTCTTACAGAGTCCAAAATCCGAAATCATGACCCGCCTACAGCCATTAGCATTAGCTTTAGATATGATAAGATTCTCTGGTTTGACGTCACGGTGACAAATCTTAAGATTGTGCAGATGATTCAATCCCTGTAACGCTTGATTCAGAATTTTAGCTGGGGTTAAATTTGGCGCAAAGTCCAAGTCCTTTTCTATGTAATCTTTAATAGTAGCGCATCCAAGTTCTAGAGCAAGATAGCGAAAGATGCTGTCTTTTTCCATGCAAAAGTACCTGACCACATTTGAGTGGTGATCTGTTTCGCGTAAAAGCTCAACCTCCCTATCAGCAACACCTAAACACTGCGGCACAATTCTTTTTATAGCAACAGGACGTTGCTCGAACATGCCTTCGTATACGGTAGTGCCGAGACATCCATTACCTAGAATTTTCTCCGGGTCGAATTGAATTTTGCCAATTACAACTTTGCCATCTGCATTGACAGTCAACGATGAGCCTACCGAAGACGTATTGCCAGATCCTCCCAAGCTGGAGTTAGGACTTCCATTTGACATTAAGCTATCACTCAATTTCTGATTACGCCTATAAGCCAGCCACGTAAAAACACCGCATACAATACTTATGGCCGTGGGAACAAACATGGCAAGGTATAGTTGCACCCTGTTGTCGAAAGACGAATGATTGTCACTTTTGGAGGAGTCCAGAGATCCATTGTGTTCCAACAGCCTGGAGTTAGGTTTCCAGTTGTCTGGAACTGAAAGATAACCTAGATTCATGACGCCTGCATTTTCGTTATCTTCTGTTTTGCTGGGTAATAAAGGCAAGTTCCCGTTGTGAGTCATGAAGCGGGTCCTTTCGCCAACTAAGGTTGGGAGTACAAACAGTCCTTTTTGTAGCTTTCCCAGAAACATAGCTGGCATCAGGTTGAAGTAGCTTTCACTTTCTGCGCCCCATTTAGAAGGCGCGTTGGAACTTTTGACTGCATTTAATGTTTCAACAGAAATTGTGTCAAAAGGAAGCTGGACTAACCCGCGATCTTCAATTTTGTACAAACCGACTACCGTTGATTTAAATTTTTGCGTCCAGGCAACCTTGCCTGATTCCTTATCCAGAGATACCATCTCTCCATTCTGGTCCGCAGTCAAATGCAACATTTCGCTATTTGATTCCAAGTCTTTGCTCATCGAGCTGAAGTTGTAAAACGTTGCATTCCATCTTAGAGTCTGAGTGAAACTGTCGAAGATACTGACTGTGTATTCCGTTCTGCCGATATAAAACACTGATTTCTGGGGTTGAGGGCAAGGGTATTCAAGATGGTCAAGTGATACTGCCTTTTGGGCTTTCTGTGAATCAAGGTCAATTGCGTACCAGGTGTCTTGCTTCTTACCAGTGTATAGCATTCCGTCCATATTAAAAGGCGATTGGGCAACCTAAATCAATCCTTCATTTAATAATAACTTATTCCAAAAGTACTATAAAAAATTTGTTTCAAGTTTGTGCAATAATCCAACAATATAGAAAATTTATCTTTGACAGAGCATCATCTTGAGCCAGCGCAGAAGGCAATTCAACCCGTTGAAGCGCCCGCTTAGGACTTTCTATCAAGTAATATCTTATTTGGACCTGATTGTTTATTACAAGAGGGTTATCTACTCGAGTGTTATGTCGAGCTAGCTAAAAGTTTTGCAACTCAAGACATCGAAAATCAATTTGAGAGAATGAAGTTAAAATATTCTGAAAAGAAATCTACTTTTGAAATTTCCCTTATATCCGCTCATCTTACTGAGCCTTGCTTAGTATTTTATTTCCACATATTTTTAGCAGGATGTAATTTTCATTCAGTTCCCAAGACAGAAAATGAAATGTTTACGAACACACACCATTTCAGGTATTCCCAAGTCCAACTTCTCCAGTCTTCCGCTGGCACTCACTCCCATCCGGTAGAGTCCGCCGTCTCTAGGGTTTGCTACAAATAGAGGCCGGATCAGCTGCTGCGGCAACTTCAGCACCGGAAACTCCTCCTCCGCAATATCCCACAGAATACGACCATCTGACTGACTCACTATGTAGATGGCACCATTAATTGTCGACACGAGAATCAAGTTGTCATCTGATTGGCTGATATCTTCATTTTGGGCATTTATTAATTCTCTTTTGGGTGTGGTCGACACTGTTATGTCATAAGTGGTAACTGCTTCATCGATGACATCATTTGATGAATGTCCACGATTAAAGAGGGAAAATATAATCAGAAAGACCAGATGTGTAAGCCACATAATGTAAATTTGAGGCGATCAATCATTAAGATCTGAAACATTCAAATGCAATATGTTCGAGCTAAAAAAGGAAAATTTAAGTCAAACGGGGTCGAATCACTGCACTTTTTATGAACTAGTTTGCCTATATCACGTTGATTTTTTGCACTAAAAATAACAAACGGGTCTCCCAGGAAATCGTCTTCCTTTTACACACCATTTAAAATCGAGCAAAGGAGTTCATTCATTTTCAGTTGTTTGAAACATCTGTTGTTTCCATAAAGAGAAATTTTTTTTAGCATTTCAGCATAAAAAATTCTGTTGTTATTTCGAAAACAATCTGCCATTGTGTCATCATGAGAATAAAAAGCTAGATAAAATCTTAAATTAGTATCTATTATATTTGAGTTATTTTACTATGAAGCTTTTTCAAAAAGAAATAGATGATCAACTTTTATGCAAAATATACTGCATATCAATCATGTGTTGAATGCAAACAATAATGCACTGAGTAATGCGAAGTACGACATCTAATGAAATACCAAGATTTCCGAAATGATGATCAGAAACTTATCACCATTACATTATATAGTAAGATGGGTGGCATGGGATCAACTGAGAAATCTCCGTAACATTTTTCTCTTTTGCAAAAAGGGGAACAGTGAAAGTGATTCAAAATCCGCATATGCTTAACCATTGTTTTAGTTCATTATGAGAGGTAGGTATTCTTTACTTAGCCGCGCAGGGGGAAATAATTGAAAAGATCCCCAACTCCTCCCCCTAATGAAAAATTGAGCTTCTTGCCTAGCCAAAAAATGGATAAACGCAACAAAAGTCTTTATAAAACGCGAGTGGGTGGTTGATGAGTGAATAGCACGCAATCGATTGAACAAATTATGTTTTTTTTTCAAAATTCGTGCAACGAGAAAAATATATGTTGCATTTTTCCTTTTTAGCTTAACTTTCATCAAATTAAGCATGCAAGAAGATATGCTATAGTGGAAAAAAAACAATCATTCAAGTCGTGAAAAACATAGTTTACTGCAAAACTTTTATTGTTGTTCAGACCATTTGAAAATGTGGAAGAATTTTGTATTCGGGTAAGTTTCAGTTTTTTTCCACATAAAATCAGGTACCGCAAATAATCATCAGAATGATTCAATTTCTAAATCAGAGCATTTCCAGTTGCAAATCGAACGACATCAAAAAACAATTGTCAAGAAAAACCGGTTTGAAATTTTTGATTTTTGGTCTAAATTCGAGCTAATAAGGTTTGTCCAAATAAGGTTTGCAGGCTTGTAATAGCTCATTTCAGCAGTGAAAACTTAGATTTGTTCAAGGAAACTTAGTTTTTGAAAATCTTAGCGCATTTTGAGAATCAAAAACGTCAAAAAAAAATTCTGCAAAAAGACTTTACGATTTTTTATCGTTTTTCTACAGAAACTGTTTTTCCAGTTAGCCTATTTGACTATTAAAGTCGCATATACATAATTTCAATTTTCTTCGTTCAGATCTTAATATCACACCACATAGAAACAACGACACTTAATTGAAAACAAAATTGTATTTGTATAAGACTTGGTCGGAACATTCTGTGCTATTTGCACAGTAACCAACTATACTTGTTTTGTTATTCATTTTTCAAAGAATAATGTTGTCACCACGCATAACAAAGACAAATACAAAGAATAACAAGGATAACCGCTTGCTGTGCAAATAGCACAAAATTTCCGACAACATTCATATAAAAACAATCGAATTTTTCAAAATTCAAATTAGAGTCCTTTCGTGCGAGGTTTGATGAAAGAAATTTACAAACAGTATCGCTTTAGCAATTTAGACAACTTAACAACAATTATCTTCGAAAATTAAATCACGTAGAGAAAAATGAAAAAAAAAATTCTACAAATTTTTCTGATTTTTTTTTCAGAACAATTTGTTTTCAGAACAATTTGCCAAGGAAGCTCTAAATGAAGCCCATAAACCTAGTTATCCCGGAGCAAACTTAAGTTTTCACTATCGAAATGAAATTACTACTGATATATTAGAAGATCTATTTATACGACACGCTTGCTCGCTCGAAATTAGACTTAAGCTCGGAACAAAATGTCGGTATCAATGGTCGGGTAGGGATTTTTTAATGGATGTGGTCGCAACTTTCAAATTTGTTTGTTTTCGCGATTCATTTGCATCAAAGATAGCAAGTTATCACATAGATAGGGCTCTACATTTATGGTTAAATTCCTAAAATTGTTCCCTGCATTAACTTAATAAAGTAAATAATTATATGTTATTCTTAAATAAGGCAGAAAATTGATGGCTGTTCAAATTGATTTTTAAAATTTGGTATTCCAAATTATGGTGGTCCAAATTGATGGAACAACCTTGCGGATAATTTAATGCAAGGTAAACCTAAGTTCAAGTCGTTATAAACATGTCCCAAGTACCCAATGATCGGGGAGGGAGAGAGATTTCTCAATTATCCGTGGCATGTTTTATTTTGAAAAAGTTCCCACAATTTCTTATATTTTTAAAGGTAGAGCTACCATTTTTTAATGTAGTTAACTAAAGTAGAGCGGACGATTTAAAAAAAAACTTTCAAAAAATGAATGGAAATTCGGAAACCTTGAACTAAACCTCTAAATTACTATTGAGTTTTTAGACTAACAAAACACAACATCTCCATTACTAAAATTCGCTGCTAATAATGCTACAAAGCAGGATAGACAATCAACGGTTGGAGAATAAAACAAAATCAGTTTAACGAGGAAAGTTGCACCCTTGGATCGAATGCTGTTAAAACGCAGCGCCCGGGCTAGCACCTCCCTTTTCTTTAAAAGACTGCACAAATTTGGAAGCTTTTGCCAGATCGTATTTGAAAGACTCTAACACCATTTTGCAATTATTTGTGGAAAGTGTGCATGTGTTTTGGAGGATGTTGATCTTGACTGATTCGATGGCCTTTTGTTCGTTCCAATTCGTTTCAACAAGTGCGTTGTAACACTGCTCTTGTGTACTTCCATTCACACTACTACACACACGTTCAACCGCAGCTTCGCTTTGAGCTTCTAGAGACTAAAAAAAATTAGAGCTGACGTGTTCTGTTATTGACAAAAAATACTTTTCTTTAACGGTAACCATTAATCGAGGCTGGCCCTAATTTTCTTATAACATATTTTGTCCAACTTAGAGCAAACACATACTCGTTTCTTAATTAGATGCCAAATATGGAATTTATTGTATTTTAAATTTAACAACCAGAAATAAAAATATCACCGAAATAATTGATCTTTATTTCCAAAAACTTTAACTCATAGGATACTTTTCCTCGTGCTTTGAACTAACGAGTTTGAAAAACCAATGTTAATAAAATCGAATATACCTTCAATTGTGTAGAAGAAACCAGCTCATACGCTGGTGCGGTCGGTGCCCCAGAAATTCCGAATCCATTATTTCCAAAACCACCATAGCTGTTTGCCATTGGGGGTGGCGGAGGTGGAAAGCTTGAACTCAAATTTGATTTTCCGAATCCTCCAATATTTGGCGACTGAGGCAAAAACGCCGAAGTTACAGCTGGAGACCTCGCCAACATATGAGGCGGCGCACTGAGCCTCGAAGCCTGGCTACCCGGTATAGCCATAGGTTTCGAAGCGAAAGCCGACGCTTCCCTTTTCGTGGGTACAGTAGGAACTGTCGGCGAGTACGGACCCGAATTTTCCCGACTATGTTCTTTGGATCCCGGTCGGCTGAAGTTTGAGGACACATTTTCACCTGGTTTTGGCATCGAGTGTCGGAAGTTCAACCTCGGCGAGAAAGTGGAATCTTTATCCCTTTTGATGCTATTTCTCAGCTGCATCTCTCGCAGTTTCTTAATCCTTTCCTCTAATTCGTCGCAGTAATCGACACTAGATCCTGATGCTATATCACTAGGAGTATTTTCTCTGGATTGGTCCAATTTGACCGATTCAAGATCGATCGAAAAACGACTCCCTCCAGTCTCCATGCTTTTGGCTATTGAACTTTTGGCAGCTTCATTGGCATTGTTCCACGAAATACTACTAATATTTGCACTTTTATCTTGAAACTTAAGTGTATTTAGATCAATCAAGTCTTGTTCAAAACCACTTGGTCTTTTCGCAGGTGTTTCTCGAAATATCGGATTATTTGATTGCTCTTGCAGAGTTGCATTAGAATCTTCAGTGTATTGCACATTAGGCGTAGCGTCGAATTGACAATCAACAGTTTCCTGTACGTTTATCGGTTCCCAGTTAGTTGCAGAGTCAAAACTTTGTGAGAACTGAGCAAAACTGTTGTTTTTATTTTCGATTGTTCTTGCTTTTGAATATTTCGCCATAGAAGAATACTCGTCGTACTCTTCGTTCGTGTAAAACGGGTTCGTTGATTCGGCTCTTCCATTGGATTCCATTCTACCAATTGAATTATAACCATGCGTCGGAGACTGCTCATTTTGAGACGGAGTCAATCGACCCTCGTCTGAATCGATAACCGAGTAGAACTCAGATTGGTCGTCGTAGACACTGAAGTCATCGGGATCTTCGTCTTTCGCTTCGCCACTGTTTTGCACGAAGTTATCTGTGAATCTTTGTGACATATTCTGACGATCACTCAGGATAGGTCCAAACGGATTGCTTGAAGATGCGATTCCGTTATCGGGAGAAAAAGAAGGCTGATGCTCAACATCGGGCGATCGAACAGCAGTCAGATCAATTAGGTCATCAGCTGAAATTAAATGTGCCTTTTGTATATCAACCGCAATGGCCATAACGAAAAAGATCGCGTGAACTGATCTCACTTACCATGCTCAACTTTTTGCATCCCTTTTCTCAAATCTCTCATCTTGACATACGGTTTGTCACTGAAACATTAATAATAGCCGGATGCTGAAACTGTAGCACAGCAGGTTTTTCTAGGCAGGTTAGACAAGAACACTATCTCTGCAAAATAGTAGCTCCAAAAACCAAAAACAAAAAAGCAAGAAAATATCAAAATAAGCCTTGAAATCAAAACTTCGAAAATGAGAAATTACTTGGAGAATACGGGATCCGATCATGTTACTCCAGATCAAGAGTCACATGAGTCGCCCACATAGCAATCGCCTCTTAATTTAATCTACTCTCATTAATACTTTATTCTAGAAGGATATAGCTAAAACATAACTCTAACTCTAAAAACGCATAAAAAGCAAAAAAAAACGTGGGACCGAAAAAAGTGGACTGATTTTATAACACAACAATCGCAAATTCGCTTGGATTACTATGTCCTAGGTCAAATCACGACCAAAATGACCTCAAAATGACGATACACTCAATTTCACAGGACGTTTATAACTTCCCCGAACACATTTCACTTCTGCGTGATCGCAACAATAACAAACTATTCAGTTAAGAAAAACTGTATGATCCCAAATAATTGTTCCGACTATTTGAAAACCTTCTATTTGAGGAACCTTGTATTCGGGGGTATTTTGGTTTTTTGTTTTCTACGCAAAATCAGTAACTACAAATAACCATTGCAACGTGTCGAAAAAATGAAGCCTCTTCAGTTGTGACTCGAACGACATTTAAAATTTGTCCTCTAAATCTTTTTCCTCTAAAAACTATCATCAGTATCGAGAAAAACTGGTAGAAAAATTTTGATTCTTTATTCAATTTTCAGCAAGTTAAGCAAGCGAGCAGCCTTACAAGAGCCTAATTATGCTCAATTTAAGCCCTTAAAACTTAGTTTTAAACAAAAAAGAAGTTTCTGGAGTTTTTAGCGCCACTTTGAGAACTAAAAACTCGAAAAATTTCAATAAAATTTCTGCAAAAACTTTTTGATTTTTTTTTTGTTCCTTTAGTCAATTTTCTAAAAAAAAAACTTTTGTCCAATTTGCCTTTATTACGTTGACCGTTGAATATGCCTAAATCAAAATTTTAAGTCAATTCCTTTTTATAACACCACGCAGAAAAAGCACTAATGTGAAAAACATTTCTTTTTGTAGTTTTTTAAGACTATGGTTTGAACATTCCATGCTACTTGCATAGTAACGGGTTTTATTGTTTAATTTTAGGTATGCTTTTCATTATAAATTTTCTAATCGAGAAATACAACAAACAAGCATCTTTGTTTAAAGTGCAGTAGTTCAAATTGTTCCAATCCGACTGCAGTCACAGTTTCTAAAAAATTGACAGCGGTCAAGCTGCAACTTCGCAAACATGAGCGGGCAAGCGGCAAAGATAAAGGAGCTTCAAAATGCAGAAGAACTCAGAACAAGCATGAAAAAATTTGGCAACTTATAAGCTATAGGCAACCACACTAACATTGAATGTAAACAATGGAATGTATTAAGAATAAAATGCGATTAAAATATGCATTTCAAAAAACTCGCATAACATTTCGAGTTGGAAAAGTTCTGAATTGGTATTTTAATTATTATACTGTTAAAAAAAACGGATAGCTGTGTTAACTTACTGCAAATTAAATGTCCGAGCCCATTGTGTTATAATGCTAATGCAGCCAACGAAAACTTGCACTTGTTTGCGACTTAAGTTGGAACAAAAGTTGCATCGTACTATCACACAACGCTCTGCACGTGTTATAAAAAGCAAAATCAGGTACAACAAAGAACCACTGGAATGTGTCAAGTGGCATATCAAATTGAAGCCTTTTCAGTCGTGATTCGAACAACATTTAAAAGTTTTCAAAAACTATCTTCGGTATCGAGAAAAACTGTTTGAAAATTTTGAGCAAATGAAGCCAGCGAGAAGCCTTATAACCTGATTATATTTAATTTAAGCCCTTAAAATTAAAATTTAAGCCAAAAAAAATTGTTTTTGAAGTTTTTAGCGCCATTTTGAGAACTAAAAACTTGAAAAATTCAAAACTTTGCAATTTTTAAATTATTTTAGTCATTTTCCAATAAACATTTTTGTCCATTTTGCCTATATTACAATTACTGTCGAATACGCCTAAATTAAAGTTTTAAGTCCGATCCTTTTACCACAACACGCAGAAAAAGCAATTGAAAAAAAATATTTTTGAAGGTTTTTAAAACACTATGGTCGAAACATTCCGTGCTAATTGCATAGTAACAGGTTATCCTTGCTTTGTTTTAGAAACGATTTTCAATAAAAAATTTCCAATCAAAACAAACAACAAACAAGCATCCTTGGTTAATGCGCAGTGATTCAAATTGTTCCATTCCGACTAAAGCCACTATTGCTAAAAATTTGACACAGGCGAAGCTGCAATTCCGCAAACATGAGCGAGCAAGCGGCAAAGATTAAGGAGCTTTAAATGCACAAGAACTCAAACTGAGCAAGTAAAAAAAATTTGGAAACAAATAAGCTGAAGGCAACCACACTGACTTTGCATGTAAAAAAGAAGGTTTCAAAACAAATTGAGTATAAATATGCCTTTCGAAAACCTCGCGAAAAAAAATCGAATTGAGGAAGCTCTGAACTGAGATTTTAGATATTGTACTGTTGTATAAAACAAAAAAGCTGTGTTAACTTATTCCGAATTAAATGTCAAAACCCATGGTGTTATAATTCGAAGGTAGCCAAAAAAATAGCACTTGTTTTCTTTTTAAGTTGGAAAAAAAGTTGCATCTTACTATCGCACAACGCTCTGCACGTGTTATAAAAAACAAAATTAGGTACAACAAACAACAATTGGAATGTGTCGAGTGATATATCAAATTGAAGCCTTTTCAGTCGTGATTCAAACGACATTTAAAAGTTTTCAAAAACTATCCTCAGTATCAAAAACTATCCTCAGTATCGACAAAAACTATCCTCAGTAGCGCCACTTTGAGAAGTAAGAACTTTTTTTTTGTTCTTTTAGTTATTTTTTTTACAAATATTTTGTCCAATTTGCCTAAACTACAATGACTGTCGAATACGCCTAAATTTTAGTTTTAAGTCAGATCCTTTTATCACATCACGCAGCAAAAGCACTAATTAGAAAAAAAAATCTTTTTTTTTTGTAGTTTTTTAAAGACTATGGTCGGAAAATTCCGTGATCCTTGTTTAACCGGTTATCCTTGTTTAATTTAAAATCTGCTTCTCATTCTAAATTTTTTAACCAAGACATACATTAAACAAGCATTCCGACTGCAGCCACAGTTTCTAAAAAATTGACAGCGGTCAAGCTGCAACATCGCAAACATGAACGAGCAAGCGGCAAACAAAAAGGAGCTTCAAAATGCAGAAGAACTCAGAATAAGCATGAAAAAATTTGGCAACTATTAAGCTATAGGCAACCACACTAACATTGAATGTAAACAATGGAATGTATTAAAAACAAAATGCGATTAAAATATGCATTTCAAAATACTCGCATAACATTTCGAGTTGGAAAAGTTCTGAATTGGTATTTTAATTATTATACTGTTGAAAAAAAACAGATAGCTGTTTTAACTTATTGCGAAATAAATGTCAAAGCCCATGGTGTTATAATGCTAAGGCAGCCAACGAAAACTTGCACTTGTTTGCGACTTAAGTTGAAACAAAAGTTGCATCGTACTATCACACAACGCTCCGCACGTCTTTAAAAAAAGTTAAATCAGGTACCACAAAAAACCACTGAAATGTGTCGAGTGACATACCAAATTGAAGCCTTTTCAGTCGTGATTCGACCACATTAAAAATTTTTCAAACCTCTTCTTGGTATCGAAAGAAGCTGGTTTACTTACAACGCCCAATGAGCAGCCTTACAACACCTAACGAGCAGCCTTACAACAGCCTAATTATGCTAAATTAAAGCCCCTAATATTTAGTTTTAAACAAATAAAATTAGTATATGGAGTTTTTAGCGCCACTTTGAGAGTAACAACTTGCAAAAAAAAATTATTTATTTTTTTTTGTTCTGGTTATATTTCTACATACATTTTTGACCAATTTGAGATAAATTATAGTTTTAAGTCAGATCCTTTTATCACACCACGCAGAAAAAGCACTAATGAGACAAAAAAAATCTTTGTAGTTTTTTTAATACTATGGTCGGAACATTCCATGCTCATTGCAGAGTAACCAATTATTCTTGTTTTATTTTAGATATGCTTTTCATTATAGGTTTTCTAATGAAAACATACAAACAAGCATACTTGGTTAATTTTCAGTGGTTCAAGGTGTTCCATTCCGACTACAAACACTATTGCTAAAAATTTGACACAGGTGAAGCTGCAACTTCGCAGATATGAGCGAAAAAGCGGCAAAGATAAAGGAGTTTTAAAAATTGCACAAAAACTCAAACTTAGCATATAAAAAATCGGAAACTAATAAGCTAAAGTCAACCACACTAACTTTGAATGTAAATAATGGAATGTATTAAAAACAAAATGCGAATAAATTACGCATTTAAAAAACTCGCAAAATTTATCGATTTGGAGAAGTTCTGATTGGGATTTTAATTATTTAACTGTTGTATAAAACAAATAGCTGTGTTAACTTATTACGAATTAAATGTTAAAGCCCATGTTGTTATAAAGCTAATGCAGCTAACGACAAATAGCACTTGTTTGCGCGTTAAGCTGGAAAAAAGTTGCATCATACTATCACACTACGTTCGGCACGTGTAATGAAAAAAATTGTGTTTTGCTGGGACAGAAAAATTTAGGCTGCTGAGAGTTTCATTTACAGCCTAGATATTACAAAACGGCTCTACAACCGTAATTACTTATTGATTCATTATCCACTCATCGCTCTAAAACGGCTAGTCAAAAAATCGTGATAATGAATTTTTTTTGACAATGAAAACATGGTCAACAGACAGTTTGAACAGATACGATGAACGAAAACAGAAAAATTAACTAGTTTTAAGAAAAAATTTACATATAGAGCTGGAAATCTAATCAGGAGAACCCACTTTCGGACCAAAAACTGGTTCAAATTTTTCGTGACCTTCACACTACTGCTGCTCGACAGTGACGTTTGCCTTCCTCCGAATAAAAAAGCAAAACTCATGTGAGCATTAACAAATTTTATGAGGTTCCAGAGAACAAAACCACGACTTACTTAGGTCTTCACTGCCTTCATTGACACTTGAAAACGTTCCAGAAATTTGCATTACAGCTAGACTCACGGCTGAAAGAGCATAACCATAACTTCGAAGTATTTGACCTGCACTGGTCGAGCTTATTTCATGTTCCCAGAAAATCTACATGCTAAGAATTCTTTTATTTGCTGCCTCAATTTGAACTCCTTGAAATGGAACAAAAACTACAAGTACACAGAGGCGAAAGGGAGCTTCACATCACTTTTGATACAACCAAAACGTGGCAAAACAAGTTACCGAACATAAATGAAAATAACTAAGTCGTAAAAAATCTTGGTAAAAATCAATATTTTTTTCCAAATAGTTTTAAGTTCAATTTCAGAAAAACAAACCAGAAACACAGCGACTAGCATTAAACAAGCTTTTCTTAGTTTCCATGCGTACACTTAACCGACAGCACGCCTTGGTTAGACTCCCAATGATCAAAAAGCCAAAAAAAGCCAAGAAAAATTGTTGTAAAAATAACCAATAAAACTGTTTGAATTTAACTTTTATACGACCGACTCGATTTATTTAAAAATTAACAAAGTATAGAGCCAATATTCATTTGGAATAGAGTCAATGTCTCAAGTAACAGAATAAAAACTGACTTATTTTTTGAAGAAAATATCGTTTCGAATTTCAAAGAAAACAGATTGCCTTAAAGCCCTTCAATTTTCAAGAACAATTTATGATTGGCTTTTTTGCTAGAAAACACTGGATTGATGGATGAGTTTTAAAATTCGCTGGGACATTTGTGAATTACATTCCACTTTCAAAACTACAGACCTTAATAATTTTGCTGTTCGATAAAGGAGTTTGCCTTCCTTTCAACAAAGGAATTGAACTGAACTTTACAAGAAAACAAGTCAAACCTCGAAAAAATAAAATTGAGCCTTAACAAATTTAAGACTTTTCCTGAAAAAAATTGCAAAAAAATTATGGCGACTTATATATGAGTCTTAACTACGATCATCGACTCTTAATAATCTTTGATTACCCCTAAACTGATGAAAAAAAACTAAAACGACAAAACACAAGCTCCAAAATCATTTAGGCCGAATGAAACTTTTTGGGGAAAACAAAAACAAAAAACGAAGAAAAATATACAAGTCAGGGGTAGAAAATTTACAAACAAATTACAGGATTCAATCAACGACACTTGATTCTGAAATGAAAACTGCTTACTGTTTACAGCTCAAAAAAATTCCACGGTGTAGTAACTTAGCCGCCAAACATAAGCCGACAACAAAAAGTCTGAATACCCAACCTTTCCAGGAAAAGATTCAATTTTAGAGACAGGGTACGGCCCCGACTCAAAGCGCATTACCTCCACGCCATGTGGATAGCGGCTTGCAAGTTGCTAAGGATCGATAAAAAAAACAAAAAAAATTTACGGGAAAAAGTTCCCGATTACAATTGCGTTCGCACCTGTAATAAATTGAAAAATTCTGGTAAATTATACTGAGCATGTTCAATTGTATCGATTAGTCAATTCCGCCTTCAGGTTCAATCGTTTTTTTTTTGTACGCAGTTAACGCTCTATAAAAAAAGAATTGATGATCCAAATCTAGAAAAAACAGCAATAAGGAAACAAAGAAAAAGCAATACACACGCTTAACTTTCCAACTATTATAACAAAGAAGAGCAATCTCTTTGTGACGTGACTTTTTGTCAGCCACCCCGTATCAAATTTTATTTCACAGAAATCACGCTTGCACTCCACAAAAAACGGTAAAACCAACTTAAAAAACGGCAAAATAACAAAGCAAGAACACACAGAAAAAGGCCTCGAATTAAAAGTATTGATAAAAACAGATCGAGTCTATTGAATAAATATCAAAACCAATCAGATTCGATCAACTCAAATGTGAATGATTATTTGAACGGTTCAGATTGAGATTTTTTTTGACGAGATAAAACAAATTGCGTTGAGCATCATAGATAAGTGAATTAAAGCGAGCCTAATTCAGACCAACAGTTTCACAAATTGCAATATTTAACACATAATTTTAAAGAGAAATCCTCGCAGGTTAATTTTTTTTACATTTTTTAAATTCAGTGTAGAAATCTTCAAAGAGGCACAAAAAGTACCACAAAAACTATCATTTTGAAAACAGTCAGTGTTATTTTGTTTTTTTAATTTTTTTATTACTTAGGTCTTTACTTGATCTCAGTTATAGCAGTAGGCACCAATACTCTCACAAGCCAACTCAGACAATTTTAAAAAATCAAAATAACCTTGACACTAGATGTTTTATGGTATTTGACACAAAGCAGAGCTAATTTAATTAACTCGAATCAGTCAAAGGAACAATTTGCGAATAGGTAGCTAAACAGTTATATTTTTTGTTATATTAGCACGCGAACCAAAAACATTATTTCAAAAAATAGACAGGCGAAGCTGCAGCTTCGCAAGCACAAGTGAAAAAATGCAAACGACTTGGCTTTAAAATGCAGAAATAGCATATTTTTAGGTTATAATTTTGAAATGTAAAAACTAAAGGCGGACGCACTAACTATTTTGCATGCAACAAATTGGAAAGTGTAAAACCAAATTTTCTATAAATTATGTAAGCCAAATTTTCTTTAGATTATGCAAAATTTTTTATAAATTATAAAGTTTTCAAAAATTAATCTTTTCTCGCATTAATTAATCAACTAAAAAAACATCAAGTGTTGTAATAAATCAAATGTCAAGGCATATGGTATTATAGTGCCAATGCAGACTCATGATTCAAAAAGGCCACCTAAAGCAGCTCTTTTAAGCTTTTTTTAAACATGACGCCAAAATTAGCACTTTTTTGCAGTGTTGCTTGACTAAAATCACCCTGATTTAAACCAATGATTTTAATCAAAGAATAAAAGTCAAAAAAATCAACTGCGCAAGTTTATTGCATCATTCTGTCGCGGTAAACAAATATAGCAGCTGTGCAGTATATACAATGAGGAGTGCGGTCTGTATTTAAACAACCGCGTATTCCTACTCGTCAGTAAGCAGACAAATACTGTGTTAACCAATCAGAATCGAGATGAGAAAGCAAACTTTCGAGATAAATAATTATTACTTATTAATTTCTTCCTTGTCTCAATTTTGATTGGTTAATACAGTATTTGTCTGCTTACTGACGAGTAGGAATACGCTATATCGTAGGAATTAAGCTAGAAAATGGCAAAAAAAGCGAACTTAACGACAATTAAATACGCATTTAGCACCCTTTTAATGAAATTCATGCCCAGAAAATTGGAGAAAAAAGTCAAGTTTGAGGCTCAATTAAGTAAAAATGATTTGTTTTTACCAGTCCCATAATAATACAGTTGTCCCAGTCACATAATAATTACCACTACATTTCCTAGTAACAATGTCCCAATTATATAATAAAAAATTTCATTTCATTTTTTCATAATTTAGGGGAGTATAACCTAAAAGACCCAACTTGTATTCTGCTTTCGGGTGCTGAATCAGTAATTTCAATTGAAAAAAATTGATACTTAAAAAAAAATTTCCAAAAAAATAAAAAAAAAACAATAAAACTCGGATTTAAATCAATTGAGGATATACATCAGATTTTAATGCTACCCTGCTTTTTTGCTACTTTTATTTTTTGGTTGAAAAAAGTTATATCGCATTAGAACACTACGCTGAGTACGTGTAATAAAATAAGGATCCATTCAATGTTTTGTTTAAATAGGATGAGAATGATATATCTCAATTACCTACCGCCTTACATGCTGTGGCAACTAAGACGCCCAATATAGGCAGACAAACTAAATTCCGATATTATTCTTTTTTAAACAACAAAAGAATCCTGATCAGTTATCAAAAAACAGGTCCTGATCTGACCGGATTCTAACCCTCGATCTTTGGAGTACCAGGTATGGACGTTCTCTTCAGGATATCAGACCCAGAACTTAAATTGATTATGAAACAAGCTATCAAGTGCTTCAGTGATCAGTTTACTGGAAAAAAAAAGTTCCGATTTGATCACGCTAATCGCAAGCGTAAAAATAAATAAATTGGTACCTAACTGACAAAAAAGCTTTGAAAAAAGCTTCATTTAATACCCCCCATCTAGTAAACCTGAACTGCCTTACTCATTGTTGCTATTATTATTGATTGTCGTATAAGCAGTTTCAGCTCTCGAAGTCTCATACAGATCAGAGTCCCACGCAGAACACTCATCTGCCACTATCGGCGGTTGCGTCACATGCACAAGAACAGACTTCGCAGCCAAAGCGGCAGCCGTACCGACATTGGGCACTGCTGACTGTTTCGCTGCCCTCTGATTACTAAGATGGGGAGAGGGTTGGGCTGAACTGGTAGCTGAAGATGAAGCAACTGCTGCAGCCGAGGTAGATTTGGATGTTTGTTTCGATTTTGATGATCCAATGATGGATTTGTGATTGTTGTGGTCTGATTGAACTAGGGAGAAGGGGAAGTAGCCTACGCCAAAAGTTCGTTTGTTTTGTCCCTTCATGATTTGACCCGCGTCAGTGTCAAGGCTGCAAAATAAATCTCCACAGCCATAAATAAATCTAACATCTCCATTATTACATTTTAGCGGCTTTACAACTCCCATATCCTTAAAACAAAGCTAACAGACAGTTGAAAAAAGTCAATGAATGCAAAAGAACGGAAACAAATACTGACTTGAAAGAAAAAATACATGCCCTTAAAGCTCTTTGAAATTCACGAAACAATTTTTTCATTTTCCTGCAAAAAAAAAACAAATGAAAAAAATCATCACGACCTATATAAGTAAGGTCATCGACTCTCAACAAAAGAAAAATGCACAAAAGCAAAAAACAAAAACATCGGTAATACGGTGTTCAAACTCAGATTTCTAGAGGAAAGTCACTACGCTGGGAAATACAAAAAGGCGTTCTATAAAGCTAGATCATGTGCTGTGTAATAAGAGCATGAAAATTGAACAAGAATTTGCCCTAAAACAAGGGGTATGTTTTGGAGAAAAATGAACTGATCATCTAACACGAGGCTATACCCGCACCAGAAAATAGATACCGATTCAACTCAACCAGAAAAAACTTCCAGCTCCCTTGTTGTCTTCAAACAAAGCAGTTGTGGCTGACTTACGGTTCTGATAGCACAAATATCTGGTCTCCTTTCTCGAAGTGTAACTTGCCCGCATTTGAGCACCCTTTGATAGCCGTGAGCATCTTCGGTCTGTGGTTTCCCCACTGTACGACCAGGGTATGTGTGTCTGGTCTTTCGGCAGCAGCAAACGAGCAGCAGGAGAGCACGAGGTTGTAGATGTTGTCGGGACAGAAGTCGTGCTGTGGTAAAACTTCGCCATTTTCCAGTTTAACCAGCATCTAAACAACATAGCCAACAGACAATTGGAAAAAGTCAATGAACGAAGTCAACAGAAAAAAAAAAGTTTTTTTTTTTTTTTTTTTTTACAAATTTCAACATTAGAACTTCAAAATGAAAAATCTATGGCCTTAAGGCTCTTTGAATTTCAAGAACAATTTACGATTCGCACTCGTAACAGTTATGATAAAAAGATAAAGTTGACCCAATTTGAGAAAACTGGATCATTAAAGTTTATATTCAGTTGGGAAATCTGAAAACTAAATTCCCCTTTCGAAACAAGGAGTCGATCACGTTTTACGTGACATCAAAACTTTTACTGTTCGATAAAAAATTTTTACCTTCCTTTTAACACAGGGAATGAACTGAACTTAAAGAGAAATCAAAAATCAAACCGCGAAAAAGTAAATTTGAGCCTGGACAAACTTTAAGACTTTCCTGAAAAAAAAAATAAAAAAATCATCCTGACCTATATAAGAGTCTGAACTACGAGTATCGACTCTTAAAAACGAAATTCCAGCTGCTGCTAGTAAACAGCAAACAGTGTAAAGTGTGTTGGTTTTGTGAATCTTTAGCTAAAGATCTTCACATAGTATGATTGCGAATCCCCATTTAAAGATTCACGTTTCTAGCTTTAATAATAAAGTTTTTATGAATGATTAAAAAAGCAATAGTCAATGTGGCAAACTAAAGCATGAGGCGACAACTCGTCGAAAAAGAAAATTTAGACTTTTTCATTTTTTCAAAAGCGACAAATAGCACCAGGAAATAATTACGATCATGCAACCATTCGTTACATTAGATTGAGCAGCACAAATTTATTCACGCGCTTTATTCCTCTCGTACCGAATTTAATCACAGCGGAGCCTTGTTTTGAATTGTCTGTCGCTTCTAACAAGTGCTGCACTCTTCGAAACGTCGCTTTTTCTAAATAAAACCAGTTGTCGCTCTCGACAAATTGTCTCATCGCCAAAACAAATTGATCAGGGGCTTCAGCTGACCACGGTCATTAGACTCCATCGAAGACTAATAATGGTTTGAATCAAGAAAAAATTTTCCATTTCTGAGGCTGTCCCTACAACAACTAGAATTTTACGCTTGAAAATTTGAACACAGAGGCCAAGCTGCGCAAAGGGCGACCATGACAAAAAGAAATTCTATCAAGTGCGATAAGAAAGTAGAAATAAGCCTCTAATAAAGAAAAATTCGGCTACGTCTCGGATTCAACCTGCAATCTAGAGACTAGAGGTCTCTCGCACTAACCACTCAGCCACGGACGCTTAACAAATAACAAACACTAGCCACAAATAAAGCAGAGAACAGATGCTATGAAATGTCCAATGCAACAGATTGTGATTATAGCAAAAAAAACCACATTGTAAACACTTTTTATTACGAATTAGGTTAGAAAAAAGAAGATTTCTAAGAAGTATTAATAAACTTCTCGCGCAGGCTCGCTAGTGTAAATATAATTTTAAAAAAAACTGTTAATTAGAATATAGGTATTAAAAAAACGGCTTAAATTTGTTTTCAAAGCATCGTTTGGTCATTTTATTAGAGGGCTTCAAAGAGGGGTTCTTAATGCCGAAAAATCCCCGTAAACAGCAAAACGGTTTGAAATTTTGAACTTGAAGCATTTGTTCGAAAACTAAGCATCTAAACTAGGCCCTCAAATGAAATTTCACTGAAAAAAACCTAAAAACTTTGATAAGCTCTTAGACGGAAGTTGACTGAAAATTCAGTATTATTACAGTAAACTGCCAAATTCGGAGTGAATTTTTATTTCGTAACTGAGTTGTTTAATGAATTGCTTTTTATATAAGCAAAATCCTAAATTAGGATCTATCTTAGAAGCCTGGCTATCCAGAATGCTCATCAAAATTTCCAACTGCTTTCGCTGTTTTCGGGGATTTTTGGAATCAAGAACAACTTATCTGCCGCCCTCTAATTAAATGACCGAACGACGTTTTGAAAAAAAATGTTTACAAATTTCTATCCGACTATACTCTAATTATCAGTTTCATTTATCATATGTCAAAATTGCAACCGTGGAACCGTGGAGTTGCAGAGAAAAAGGCAGAAAAGTGAAAAAATTTTCGTTCATTTCGTCGCTTCCAAACTAAAAGTTGCAATTTCGATGTCCCGTGACTAACGTTTCAAGCAAAAGCCAATGAAAAATCATAAGCAATGATACCATACCTCGTTGGCCGTCAGTCTGGGCCTGGGGTGATCTGCGAAGGAAAATATCTCCCAACAGGTCACACCGAACATGTAGATGTCACTGGCTGCACTGTACCTCTTGTATTTCAGAGATTCGGGCGCAGACCTTTAATACAGGAGATTTTATACAACAAGGAGCAGCAAATTCCATACGAAAACTTAGAAAATCGTCCCGACAAAATGTGAAAAGCCATCCATTAACGACCTTTCCTTGAACCAAAAATCTTTCTTGTAAAAATTAAACTCATTTCTGAAACTTTTTGAAAGATTACGTTAAAACTGGTTATATCTTAAATCATTTTTAATGAGAAACAACAATGTCCATTTACTATGCTATTAGCACATATTCTTCCCATCTTGATTTCCGTTTATTTGAGTAATTCATAATCACAAGCCTGCTCGCAAACTAAAATAGAGCAAACTGCAATAGAGGTACCATGCGAAAGTTTTAGTCGGTCGAAAAATGGCCAAGAATCGCAAAAATGAGCATCGCTCAAGATAATAATTAAGTCTCAAATGTAAGAAATAAGAGTAAGGCATATCATAAAAAAGGCTGGATAGCCCTCGAGATTTCATCTGCGAATCGCACACCGCATTTATTATTCTTATAGCAACAAATCCATAAATTTACGAAACACTAACTCGAACAAAACAAGCTCCCACGAAGAAAAGTTGTCAGGCAATAGACGTTATCCTTACCATGCAACAGGCATGACAGCCGACTCTGCAGTGTACGAATCATACGACTCGTCAGGAAGAAATTTGCTCAGTCCGAAGTCGGCCAACTTTACCAACTCCGAATCGAACACGAGGATATTCCTGGCCGCTATGTCTCTGTGCAGTAGTCTTCTCTCGTGCAGGAAAGCGAGACCGAGAAGAATTTGCTGGCAAAACATCCAGAGCATTTGTACAGTTAGTTTTGGTTTCTTGTTGCGAAGGTACGTGTCCAGAGATCCCAGGTTTGCGTACTCAAAAACCTAAAGAAACAAGTATTTCTAGTTGATAAGCAAGCATCCCACACTGATGTTTCGGCCACACTGAACTAAGAAAAAAATTCAAAACAAAGAAATCCTGTATGACAACAGAAGAAACTTTTCCAATTTTCTTTTTACACGGCAATTTAATTTGATGAAAAAATTCAGGAATGAGCGGTAAAAGAAGCTAAAATAACCTTAAAATTGTAGAAGAAACAAATTTGGCGGTGGGCTGCCTAAATTAGTCTGAAAACCGAAAATATTCAGACAAGCATTTTCCCAAAACTGAGACCATTTTTAAGCATTTGGAACGCGAATCACGACTGAAAGGGCTTTAATATCATTACCGACTTAACAACCTATGAGATGGCTTTGAGGTAGTCAAAATGCTTTGAAAAAAAAACACCTTACAACATAGTTCCTTCCCACTTCGTGAAAAAGCCGGAGCAAAAATTCCCTTTAGAACAAAAAAGAGAGACGAATTGCTATCAAGGTTGGAAAAAATTGCATAATCATTGTTCAAATATTGTATAAATCAATTCGTCACTTTTACTTTCTTCATGAAAAACAGCTTTAACAACTTTCTGTAACTTTTTTCCAACTTGACATCTTTGTTCATTTCTTACACCTCTGATCACTATTTTAATTACTACTATTTACTTCGAATTTTTATTGACAAAATCAAATTAAGCAATTACAATTCATTTTCTACAATTTGAATATGAAAGTTAGCAAAAGGACAGATGGGCAAGAGTTAATGAGTCCAATAAAACCGAAAAAAAAACATCTGAATTCAAGAATCTTTTATGATCAACACTTTTTCATTAACTTAAAAGTATTGATCATAAATTTTAATTTATTCGAGAAAGCTGAATCAATGTATTTTTTGTATCGATGTGAATTCTGAAAATCGAAATCTACTTTCGCTTAAAACAATTCACAATGTTTCACGACATAGCTGCGAGTTCAATCTGCCTTGTAAATGAATTTAATGACTGAGCTTGATGAATTTCAATGGTACTAAGAAAAACCAAAAAAAAAAAACTGAAATTCAGCCCAAAATCAAAAAGCGTGAACAAGTTCACGACCTTTTTCTTGATTAAAAAATTTGATTAATAACAGACTATATACACAGAAGTGAAGCGGAGCTTCGCAGCACTTGCGATACAAAAAAACATTGCTCTACAAGATAGTGAATTTTAAAAAAATCTGAAAAATTAAGTTGTAAAAATTACTTGAAAAACCAACTTGTAGACTTCGAAAAAACTACTTCACGTTTGTATCGGATGATATTCATAAACAGCCTTAAAAAACTTTGGAAATCCTTTGCCGAGCGGCAACAATTTTAGGTCCAACCCTGTTGAACCGAAAACCAAAACTGTTGTTAAAAAAAATTCATCAAGTTTTAAAAGTTTTCACGACCCATCCGTACTGAAACACAAAACCGCATTAGGATATATTGAGATATATATTGCAATATGCGACAGTAAGTATAATCGCAAGGGTAAAAACAATTGAAGAAAAAAAAGAAAATCGAAAAAAACTATGAATACCAAAAATTTTGTGGTTCCTAGTTTTTTTTTCCATTTTCATTTTTTTCTTCAATTATTTTCATTTTACCTTTGTTATTTTCATTTTATTGTAGTGCTTAAAATGATTTTTTTTCCATTTTAATGAAGTGTTTTGCGAGATTTCATGTAATTTAAATTTAAATATTAAAAACCTGCATGACTTCGAGTAGATACGAAAGACTTTAAAATTAGCTTTAATCATCATTTAAAAAATTTTCGTTCAACCATTTTGGTTAGTTATTATTATATTGGTCAATAGTTCAATAATCTATCTATTAAATTTTGTTAAATGGACATCACAGCTTTTCGAGAACGTTTCAATGACTTCTTATGAAATGCACCTGTCTTCATAAACGTTGCTATATTATAGGAGCAATCTCTAACCTACAAATCATCAATCAAGTACTTTCTCACATTCAATTAGACTTGTCAAGTTCCTTTAAAAATTGAAGTCATCCTTGTGTCCTTATCAAACGGCTAATAAATAATTATTTTGACATAAATCTTGCGTTTTGACTCTGACGTACGCATAAAATCTCATCAACATTTTCCCTGTGGACCCGGTGCAAATTGAATTATATTTTCAATATCGCCCCGCGGTCGTCTCAATTTTGTGTAATTCATAGTAATCTTTTTTTGTCACAACACCTGAAACAGAAATGCATTCAATAACATCGTTTTGTCCCTTTTTGATCCTGTTTTTATGTCTGTGTGCTTCTCAGATTAGATCAGATTACACTTATCCGAGACTTGGCAAAGCTCCTTCTACTGAAGAAGTGTCTAGGATGATGAATACACTGCAATTGGCAAGATGGTGGACCTACACAAAGTAAGTTAACGAATTTATAAAAACCACAAAATTTTGATACCTTCCTTTTTTTGTTGAAATTATTTTGCAAAAGGCGTTGAAATTCGTTTTTACATTTAATATAAATGTAATCAAAAAACCGTTTTTTGGAGGGCAAACAACAAAGATCAATTTATCATTTTAGAGCTGCATCGAAAACCAATTTTTCCCATCGAAACCGCAAAAACATTCAAAGCCCTCGGCAATTTTTCTCATATATTGACGCTTCACTTGTTACAGGCAGTCTCCTCTAACCGTTAGCACACTACCAGTAGCAGCCAACTATCCAACAGCAGAAACACTATTTTCTAACAAAGAGAAAAGAGAACAAAAGAAGACATGGATCAGATACGGAAAGTAGATCGACCTAACTGATGAAGTACTCATCAAACGTCAGACAATGTCATAAATTCATTTTAATGCTTGATGACAGTCTTTTGTTGATTCATATAAATCACAGATTTCTCTTCTGGTTTCTGCATATAAATTACTGCCAAAAATTCCACCGTCAATTGAAGCTATTTATGAGTTTTTAAATTCATAATTTAGAGATTAATTCAAACTCGAATAAGCTACACGATTACTGCAGGGCAACAGCAATAAAACATTCTTCAACCAATCATTTTGTAAAAACACTCAACTGAAGAGAAGAGACAGTTTACAGAAATAATTAGCGCATTAAGGATTTTATACTTTTTCATCAATCAAGAATTCACGCACGAAGTCAAACGTATTAAAATAAGACTACAGTGCTGATTTAAATTATCCGGACGAAACGAACAAACTTGAAATTTCAAACGCGTTTGTCTGAAATTGGGTTGAGATAGGACAAAAAGTGAACTGAACAAAAGTTGCTAAGAATTTCACCAGAATTAATATGGCGCATTTTGTTCTCCGAAAATCTCAACCAAAATTTTACCCCAAATTAGATAAGTATTTTTTAATTAATCAAGAATTACGCTGAAACTACTTTGTTAATTGCAGAGAAATATATATCACAAGAAGCCTCTTACATAGCTCAACAAAGTTATAGAAGAAATAAATCTACAAAAACCTGTATAAGAGAAACTATTCTTGCTGAATACTGTAATTTTTAATAATGTAATTTTTACAATATAAAACCCAAAATCTTTGCTTAAAAACTAATTTTAAAAAATTTACGCAAATTTTTGGAGACTTCACCTTTCTGGCACTTTGTTGGACACATAAGAGGCTTCTTGTGACATATATTTAGCAATAATTAACAAAGCAGTTTCAGTGTAATTCTTGATTAATTATAAAAAGTCAAAATGACCCCTTTTTGGGGTAAAATTTTGGTTGAGAATTTCGGAGAACAAATGCACCATATTAATTCTTTTGTTCTCATCACTTTGCAACTTTTGTAGCTTCACTTTTCGTCCGATCTCAACCCAATTTGAGAAAAACGCGTTCGAAAAATCAAGTTTTATTCGTTTTGTCCGGATAATTTAAATCAACACTGTGTTACGAGAAATGATTCAAAAATTTAACGTTTGCAATGCACTGCACAACACAAAAGCGAAACAATAGCGTTACTTGTCACGCAAAAATCATTAATAAACCAAAGGCTAAGCGAAGCTATGCAAAAAGCGATATATTAACAACAGACAGAACTGACTAACGATAACTTTCAACGTATGTCAAACTTTCAAAAATTGCAGGAGCCACGAAGAAATCCATAACTATTCGGGATTTTGAAAAACTCATTCGATAAACTCATTTTGGAGAATTATTTGTAACAGAAGAGAAGATCATATTTATTTCTCAAATTTGCGTTCAGATAAAAACAGCAGTCGAGAGAGTTGGAAAAGAGTCAATGAACGCAAGGAAAGAGAAAAAACAGTAATTTCAAAGTAAAAGTATATGCCCTTAAAGATCTTTGAATTGAAGCACGATTTGTGACGGAAAATTTCCGCTGGGAAAAAAACAAAACCTAAAACCCACTTTCGAAAGTAGAAAACGATATATCACAAGAAGCCTCTTACATAGCTCAACAAAGTTATAGAAGAAATAAATCTACAAAAACCTGTATAAGAGAAACTATTCTTGCTGAATACTGTAATTTTTAATATTGTAATTTTTACAATATAAAACCCAAAATCTTTGCTTAAAAACTAATTTTAAAAAATTTACGCAAATTTTTGGAGACTTCACCTTTCTGGCACTTTGTTGGACACATAAGAGGCTTCTTGTGACATATATTTAGCAATAATTAACAAAGCAGTTTCAGTGTAATTCTTGATTAATTATAAAAAGTCAAAATGACCCCTTTTTGGGGTAAAATTTTGGTTGAGAATTTCGGAGAACAAATGCACCATATTAATTCTTTTGTTCTCATCACTTTGCAACTTTTGTAGCTTCACTTTTTGTCCGATCTCAACCCAATTTGAGAAAAACGCGTTCGAAAAATCAAGTTTTATTCGTTTTGTCCGGATAATTTAAATCAACACTGTGTTACGAGAAATGATTCAAAAATTTAACGTTTGCAATGCACTGCACAACACAAAAGCGAAACAATAGCGTTACTTGTCACGCAAAAATCATTAATAAACCAAAGGCTAAGCGAA